TTTAGCTTTGGTTTGATACCTATCTTCTATTTTCTAGGGGAGCAAAACTGCATTCATTTATGGCACTGTGTGTTCAGGTCCTGCTGTGGGTASACATCTCCTCTGGGACTGGGGATTCACTCTGTCCCCTTCTCCTGGTGTTGCTATCATGCCTCACATACATYTTTACTTGCTTCTTTGGTGGCCATCCATCTCATTAATCTTCACCAGGCTTCTTATCCATGAGACTTGATCCCTTCCTTACTTTCCCTGCACAACTACAAGAMTTGTACACCTTTTTGTTCTGGGGCTTTGTAAAACAGATTAAACCTACGACGTCACCTGCCCTTTGGGCAAGGGTTACCTCGCTGCTGTCACTGCTGCTCATGGATGGACACAGCTAGCTCATTTTGAGTTTAATGCACCCATCATCTGCTGTAGTCCTTGCAGACTATGTCCCATGAAAGGTATCTAATGAAGCCTTCCTTTATCTAGAAAGCTTTCCTCTGAGATATAAAATCACAGAATCRTTAAGGTTGGAAGAGACCTCTATTACCATYGAATCCAAAYATTAACCTAACACTGCCAGGTCCACCAATAAACCATGTCCCTGTGCCCTTTTCTTCGTGGACAAATGGATTCAAAAACCCATGGAATCAAGGCTTTTGCATTAAAACAGTGATAAATGAGAATGTCTTAGCAGCTGCACTCTTATCTTGTCATGCATTGCTCTGGTCTGTATAAATGRCACTCCTTTAGATTAAAAATTTTAATGTAAGAATTTGGGGTCCAGATGTAGTGATCTGAAACTCTCTGAATGACCAGAAAAGGTGTCTTAGATGAAAATTAAAAATTTCATTTGTATCTAAGATGGGACAAGAAAAAGGCAAATCTGAGGTGGCTGTAAAATGCAAAAAGGTGCTCCTCTGGYTGGGGCAGTGGTCCTGGATAGTCCTAGGCTAAAACAGTCCTGCCTATAGGGAAGGATGCAGAAATGCGTCTGGGGAGCTGGGAATTGTAGAGTCAGTGCAACCTTGTGGTCTCCATGCTCCTTGTATGGAACTGTTTTCATCCACAGGCCAGTCTCTTCTCACCTGTAGGCACGGAGTCTGTGCTGCGCTGAACACCTTCCACTCAATTATTTAAAATTCAGTTGCTATGGATCTACTCAAGGCGATCAGTTTAAAGAAAATGCAGATGGCCTCTGGTTTTGAGTTCCCGCTGCGCTTTGGTTAATTTGGTATGTAAAGGTATTAGGTTAATTAAATGCCATGTGTCGCATGGGGACCGACTGCATTTGTGGATTAATAAGTGTCCCAGAGTGTTCTGTGCTGAAAGTCCTCAAGCTGGCAGGCGGTTATTTCACTGAGAAAGGAAGGTAACGGAGAGAAGTCCTGGGGAAATGAAGAGGTTTCCTGCTAATCCTGCAGTTGTTTGTCCAGAACGGGTAGTTGCAGTGTCCTTCGGGTCCCTGACCGACTGTCAGCCCTTGCTGGAGAGACTGGAAGAATTTAAGTGAAGAGAAGCAAAGTTGTACAGTTTGCTTTGAGATTCCAGCAGGGCTGGCCGTATACAGTGAGCGTGGCCAGGGGAGGACCATGGCTGGTGCGTGGAAAGTTTCCTGCTAGGAGAAGAACTATCCCGAGAGCCATATTGTGAATCAGGTCAGAGGGTGTCCTGTGAGCAGCAGGCATGGTCACGCTGCAGGTCTAGAGCCGACCGTTCCTCTGCCGCGTTCCGGCACTCACAGTGGAATGCACGTAGAAAGCAGAGAGAGGGACTAATAGCACCGCAAAGTTTTGGAGATGTTGAAGAAGAAGAAAGTCGTTTTTGTGCAGCCATGCCCTGAGGTGGTGGAAGATGAGGAGAAAGACCAGGGCAGATGGACACTGCTTCGCAATGTCAACCAGGTCCTGAAGCCCACGACCATGTTAGCGGTAAGACAGGGGGTCCCAAGCCCTGAGCATGGCTGGAAGCTTTCAGGCTGCTTTGAACTCTCTCTTGCCTTCGATGGGAWCCTTGTACTGCTTACGCCAGCTTCTCTCACCTTCCTCCTCTGTCCCCCCCACCAAGCACTGTAGCTCCCCTGCAGTGCAGCCTTCCTGCTCTTCACATTTGGAAGCTCCTCCTAAAGATCGTCTTTGTGAATTATGTGGATCTGTGTGTGGTGTTTCCTCCTCTCGCACTGCTGTTTGGTTGTCACTGCCCCCACTTTGTGAGGTCCCCAGAGGAATTTGGAAGATTTTTCTGGTTTGGAAAGCTGCTAGCACTCAGTGGCTGTATTGAGGAGGAAGGGGTAGACAGTGTTGATACAGTATTCTCAGTGGTATTCTCACTGGTGTATTCTCACTCCTCCAGTACTCTGTCATGTATTCTGGAAAATAAAATTTTAATAAAAGGCCAATTTAGGTGGGAGGTAGATTGTGCAACTCACAAGCCACCCACAGCTGGTAAATGCATGAATCACCCCGATTTGCCCTGAAATCCCCAAAATTTCTGCTGGGTTTGGGGCTGATCCGAAGGTGATTGCTTCAGCAGAAGGAATGTAGCTAAATTCCATGGGATTTATATGAAATTGATTAAAGTCAGAAAAGGAAATAAGCCGGCACTCTTAATAAGTAATTTTATTTTTTAACCCTCCTGACCTTCCTGAGCTTACCAGCTTAGCCCATCCCATAAGACTTTTTTCACCAGTATTAAGAACTGCACTTTAATGGGTTTAGAAAGAGCAGTTTGAGGGGATGAGCACTCTGTGCATTAGGCACACAAAGCACAGAAGTTGTCTTAGYGGTAGCAGAGTATCAGTTTACCTTGGGGAGGGCAGGCTGCCTTTTATCTCAGCAGTGTGGTAATGCAGCAACATATGAAGCAGGGTGCTTTTACAGCTATTCAATATTAGAGATTTTTTTTCTAAAAACAGAATTACAGTTCTTCGTTTTTTGATCAAGAGCAATTTTTACAGAGCTGCTAAGGTGTCAGAAGGGTTTTCTGCTGAGCAGGGACTGAGCAACCCAGCTCTTCTCTTGCTGACACCTTGATCAGGTTACCCACCGTGTGCATGAATTTGCCCGGTGATGCAGAGAGGATAACAATGCTGAACATTCTGAAATGCTTTGAGAGTCTTGGATCAAAGGAGCTAAGAAATAAATATTAATATAAATGTATTTATAATGTATCTGCTCCTGACACTGCATTCATTAGTTGTGGTATTTTTGCCTTTTTAGCTAAGTTATGGGATGTGAGGATAAGACAGCTAATRAGAAAAAGATATGAATATTGTATTTTTATGAGCTGCATAAAGATTCTTAGAGCTGTAGCACAACCCTCTGAGTAAATGAAAACCCAGACAAAGGTCTGGATCCTGACCTCCATGTAAGCAGGGTGACTTTGTTGATATCCTAGTGGAAACCTAGCAAGCAGCTGCCAAGGATAGAGTCTGCCACAAAATGTTTGGGGATTYCTGGTGCGTCGTTTCTCCATGTGTGGATCCCTTAGTGTTACATTACATCCTGGTGGTATTCACAGGTTTGTGTTTCTTGGAAGTCTTGGTGAATGATGGCTTGGGCGGTGAGGACTCCAGTTCCCACTGCCCAGCACAGAGATGAAGGTCGCTGAGCARCCTGTCGGGTCAAACCAAATCGATAAACATGCYCTGTCCACAGAAATGGTTGATAGTRGATACTCAGGAAAGGGGTTATACCAGAGCACATGCAAAGTGATACCTCCTGGTTTTCCCTTCTCCCTCTCCCAGCAGTTTTTCAGGACTTCAAAAGGTAGATACTGCATTTGCATCATGCTGAATAGGTACAAGTGAAGCTGGTCCTCAGGAATGTGCTGGTAGGTGGGGTTACAAGTCCACAGCATTAATCTCAGCTGCATAAATGCAAACACACCTGACAACTAGATTGCTCCCAATTTTAACACCTTTTCACATTGAGCATAAGGGTGGGAAATAATTCTGCTTTGTTCCAGTGTGGGTCCTGCTTGGCATTTAGCTTGGAGTTATGTTTGCGTTTGCTTTTGTATTGGGGAAAACATCTTCTTTAAAAGGTTTTTTGCATTTGGGTAATTTAATATCCACAGAGCTGATGAGCAGATAGTCCCTCCCCAGCAGGACTGACAGAGGTGCACAGGATCAGTAGTGACATGGAATGAGTGGATAGGCATCAACTGCTTGCTGTGTCTTTCAAAATAAAAACACTGTGGTCTCAAATGAAAGAGATAAAACTTTTGAAATGTGTAAAAGGACACAGCCTTTTGWGATTATGGCTGATAAAACTTTGCACAGCTTCAGGACTCAAGTGAGAGTGCTCACAGCATATAAAATCCACTGACAAACAGCCYACCTATACATCACTGTAGCTGGAAGAACTCCTCAAGAAGAACATGTATTTGCCTCTCTGGTTATGTTCTTGACCCRTCTTTACTCATTCCCTTTTCAGCAGTCTCCAAGGTATATTTGRTAGTGGTTATCTGCAAGGAGGAAAGGTGCCACAAGCCTCCAGATAAGGCTTAGCAGAGCTCAAAACCATCTCCTACATGTGACTTCTTAGTTTGTATATTACACAGAGGAAAACTTCTACCTTGGTGGGCTTTCCTGCCTGTGTCACCGTTCTTTAACCTGTTTTTGCTGGATGCACTCTGACCAACAATCACTCAGGAGCTTAAAGAGCAGAGTGTTAGGACAGTGGATGTACGCTGTGTGGACCGTGCCCTGCTGCTGGCACCTTGCAGGGGATTTCACAGAGTCATGGAATCACTGARGTCAGAAAAGACCTCTGAGATCACCATGTCCAACCATTAACCCAGCATCAGYRTGTTCACCACTAAACCACATCCCCCAKTGCCACATGCAAAGCCTCTGCTTTCCTGAGCACGTGTGACAGGGGTGGTTTGTGGTTTGAGAGGGAAGTCATTTGACATGTGCTAATGATTTGGGTACCAAACATCAACAACTTGTATCCCTAGGGATGCTGAACTTCCTGCAGTGTGGAGGGTAACTGTGCTGTCTTTGGTTCCAGGGGGATTATGTGTGGATGGACCTCAAGACCGGACGGGAATTCGATGTCCCCATTGGAGCGGTGGTTAAGCTGTGTGACTCTGGACAGATCCAGGTCGTGGATGATGAAGGCAATGTACGTACAAAGGCTTGTGATGTCCCTTCTTCAGCTCCATGGCATAAGAAGATGTTTTCCTTCTTCTGTTACAAATATTTCCAATTCATCACTGCCTTGCCCCAGAAATAGAAGCTGTGACACGTGTGCTGATGGCTTCTTGTGTGCGTTCTGCCTGGTCCTTCTGTTTGAGGTGGGCTGTTTGTGTCTGTCATCCGAGTGATCTCTCATTTGTCTTATCTTTCTCTGGCCTTGCTCTYTTCCCAGGAGCACTGGATTTCCCCACAGAATGCCAGCCACATCAAACCCATGCACCCCACCTCCATCCACGGGGTGGAGGACATGATCCGCCTGGGGGACCTGAACGAGGCAGGGATCCTCAGGAACCTGCTGATCCGCTATCGGGAGCATCTCATCTATGTGAGTGTCCACCTCTTGTTCTGCTCTCCCCACCCTGCCCTCCTTAGCTCTGGGGAGCCCATGCAGGGGGAACCCTGACTGAACTGAGCAGCTGGGTTTCTGCCTTCACCTTGTCCCACGTGGTGCAGRGTTTCTGACTTTAGAGGACAAATTGGAGAGCTTGTGGATGCCCCAGTGAAAGACCCCAYGAGTCAGGTGATGGACAAAATCCACACCACCTTGCTGTCCCACCCCTGTAGATGTTTTGGGCGTGTGCATTGCCTTTCTGCAAACAGAATAACCAGTTCAACCCAGGCCGTGAGCATGTTGTAGTCCTAAAGTCCAGAAGTCCTGAAGAAAAAACTTTTGTAGAGGTGTAAACTGCATGCTAGATGGGACCCTTCTCCCTTCTCCCCCTGAGCCATTAATTTATTCAACCCGAGTGGGTGGAGACAACAATTGTTGGAGGTGGCAGGGGTGGAGGAAGGATGAAAGGGGCATGCATGCAATAACTGGGAACAAAGAAGTGAGCAACTCCCAGAACACCTCTAGAATTCTTCCCCAGATCTGTGTTGATGGCTTATTAGCTCTGGGTTGCCTGGGATCCTGATAGCTGATCTCTGGGACAGCAGTGTCCTTCTTTAGGTCAGCTCAGTTGTGTGATGCCCAGTGGATCCAGTGCAGCCTTGCCAACCCAAAGTGACATTCAGAAATTGCGGCGTTTACAGGGAGCCAGTCACAACGGCATCTCTTTTCTGTGATAGCATCACAAAGGCCATCCCCCAGGAGGACAGGAGGACAGGAGTCARCATTCAAGTCTCTGTGCTGGTTTTATCAGTGCTCTCTGTGCTGTGTAGTCTTGTGCACATTCTTCAGACAGGAATTCAGAGGGCACGTGTGTTTGATGCTAGATAATGTACTCAAACAGCCTCTGCAAATAGGGAAAATTTGGTATTACTCTTAAATAATGTAGTTTTCAGATATTCAGGTAGGTGCCTTTGAAGGCCTTTTCAAAGCCTCCTGGTCATCTAATTTTTAGAAGATTCTAGAGACTAYTAGATTTTCAGGCCAGAGGGAATTTCAAGACATTCGGACTTCACAGTCCGAAGCTGAGATAAAATAAGCTAACAGAGAATGGGCAGGATTTTATTTATCAGATCTGTTTGTTCATCTCTGCTTMATGTCCAGAGCCTTTTGATAGGATGGTTTTGGATTAGGGCTGAGCAGTGATGGAGAAGACACCACTYTGTTACATAGGTTGTTAATATGATTAACAACTCCTTGCCCCATATCTGGGACATATCCAGCTCTTCTTTCAAAGATGGAGTCCAATCCTAGARGAGGGGGACATGGCTGCTGAAAAGGCACCCCTAAGTCCCCAAAGCTTGGAGAGGAACAGAAACCTCCAAATGCATCTCTCAGACACTTTGTTTGTTGTACATGATGCCCTGAGGCTCCTGTGTTGTCAGTTTAGAGAAAAAGTTAAACCAGCAAATTATTCTCATTTTACATGAACTGAGTTTTTCCCTCTATAAATGAAATTTCTTGCCATTTACAATGATAAACTAGCAAGTTAGCAGTCCAAATTCTTTCTTGAGGTGGTGTTTCCATGTGCACTGGGCATCCATGGCAGTCACCAGATGTGTCAATAGAGCCAACAGAGACAAGATTGCTTTTCAGCCATGCAAACAGAGATGCCCCTCGGATGCTTTAGAGCTGACTGGAGCTTGGGTATCATAGAGGAGTTTGTGTTGAAAGAATAGTTTAGGYTGGAGGTTTACAGTCCAACCTCCCCTAGCTCAGAGCATGTCCATCTTTAAGGTTAGGCATAGAACTTGTGTGGATAACTGAATTTAAGCAACCTGAATGCCACTGGAGAAGKACAGATGGCCAATAATTTGTAGCTGATTGCCTCATTCAAGGAACARTGTATTTATCCATTGAGCATTACCCCTTTTTTCCCTGCTTGTGGGCACAAAGTGGATTCCTGCTGCTCCCTCTGAGAAAGTTTGGATCATGTTGAATAATTTTTCAGTGTCCATGTGTCTCTTTTGGGGTACCTTTGTTAGCCACCAAGTGCCTGTTGCCTCACTAAGTGACCAGAGGTCATCAGATACAATTCTGTGTGTKCAGCATCAGCTTGGCTGTGAATACACCAATCTCCTTCCTAAAAGCCCTGTGTCTGATCTTCCTTGCCAAGCTATTCACAGGCATCCAGGAAGATTAGGAACACAAACAARTACTGGGCAAAGTGTTGTTTGGCAACATCATCCTAAAAAGGGCTGATGCAAAGGGCAGCTTCTAGCCTAGAGGTGCGTGGGTGGTGATTTGGGCTGAAGTGACACAATAACCACATCTGTTTCTCTACGAGTTCTTCTGGTCTGATGGTGACAGTGTGGTGCATCCTACAGTTTCTGCCTAAGGGATGGCCACATCCCATAAAGACATTTGCATCACAGAGGTTCCAGGTTAATGTGCCTTGATTGCTCCACACCACTAACAGCTTTAGAGTGCCAGCCCAAGAACCGGGTACAGCACAGCAATTTGTGCAATCCCAAAATCACAATGACACTGTCAAAATGACAGAGAATGCACAGCTTGATAGACAGGCATGCAAACCACTGCTGTCTACAGGTGAGTAGTTGGAGGCTCAGGAAATCAACCTTAGATCTCACCTATTAAGAGTGATGGCACAAGGWGGACTGGTTTTGTGTCGGATGTGGTAAATATTGATGACAGTTTTGCAATGCTGAGGTACCACACGGATGCCACGAGGGCAGGGGACACCCAGTTCCATGAGGTGTCTTTTTTTTTTTATGTTGTATAATTAGCTCTGTCTTAAAGATAGTGAAGTTTCACTGCTTGAAAGGATTTCTGAGCCTGCTGAGTAAATGATTACTTTTCCAATGGGACTTCAGTTCCTCTTTTTTCCTCATGTCCTTAGTTTTGTGGAGTAGTTCTGCTCTAATAAAATATAATTTCCCTTTTTCTTCTCCYTCACATTTTACTCATAAGACAAACTGTGGCGGGAGGGTAAGTATGACTCTTGGCAATGTCATTTGCATCRCTGTCATGCCTTCCACTGGATCATTTTTTTCTGTTCACCATTGCAGCCTCCTCATTTAYTTTGCACCACCATTGCTGCTGCTTCATAAATGCACTGAGAGCATCCATCTGCCTTGGTGCAGAGCTTAACCCACTTGGTGCAGTTGTGACACCTTCCCAGAGCTGGAAAGTCCCCARCCTGTGAATGGGGTTAAAGCTTTAAGTGCTTCTCAGTAATGACCTTAAGTTGAAGGGAGGAGACGTCTGCAGCAAAATATGAAAAACTTCAACAAGGGCTTCTTGCCCTTGGTTTGGCTTGTATGCACCAAGGGAAATTATGCTGAATAGCAAGAGAGTCTGGTGGGGAGTTTGGACTCATGAGTAAGGTGAAATCTCTTAATCTGGAGACAAAACCAATGTCTGCTGCTGCTCTCTAAGGGCTGCCAAAATACAGTAATGGTTGGTAGAGCTTTAACCCCATAACAATCCAGATGAAGTCAGCCATGGTGTTCCGGGCAGTGAGGGAAGCAGGCTCAGAAAGGATTTGTTTGGGGCTAATTAAAATGTAGGTCATGCAGGCAGTAATGAATTTGCTGTGAGATGTGGTTCCTGTGGTCAGCTACAGCAGTCCCTGCTCTCAGTAAAGCTTTATTTTTCCAATAGAGAAGGGCTTTGACATCAGCCAGCAATAGAAACCAGTGAGCTAATATTTCCTTGGAAGTGCCCTTTGGCCCCTCATTGACAGAGTGAACAAAGTTTTGCCTTCTTTCAGCTGTGCGAATTGGGCAAATTGTGATTATTTATCAACTAGGAATGACCTACAAAAACAGGCAATGGTACAAGAGTTCACGCTGACAAAGTGTTTTGTGGATCACAAGGGAAGGGTCAGTGAGAGCATCCAGAAAGCATTCCAGCACCTAATGGTTAACACCTTTAAAAGTCTCTGTGTTTGCATTTGAGGCAGGGCAGACCAGTGGGACTGAAATGCAGGGATTTCAGAGACCTCTGCAAGCAGTTAGATTTTTAATTTAAAAAGAGATTTCTCATCTTATCAAAAAAAGATGAGAAATGTCCCTAAAATTAACCTGGTAATAAACTGTAAAGAGGAAAAGTCTTACAAATATCTTAGCTAGGACTTGAAGGAGTTTTCATTAGAGATCAGACACTGAGCTCACACCTTCTCTGAGCACTGAGGTTACCTGTTTTGTCCCCTTTGAAAGCTTCTCTGGAATGTGTCTGCTCCCTTGTTCCAATGCCTTCTTCTAAAATCCAGTCTACATGATTTCACAGCCAATTTCTCTCCTTTGGAGTTACGACAATGCTGTTCTTGAGCTCAAAGAGCATTCTTCTCTTACTGCCATGTAACCCCCTYTTACAGAGAAGAACTTCATGTCCTTTCTCAGTCACCACTATGAAGTCAAACCTCACATGGGACTGAACTGGAAGTTGCTCTCTTGTGTAGGCCATGAGACTAGAAGGTGAGGAGCCCTTATGGCTTTCATCATCCTTACTATGGGACAAAATTGCCACCTACTGGCTGCCTTCAGGAAGCCCAAACTGGTGGCAAGTTTTGCATARATGGTGGCAAACAAACTATTTTTGCACTCACAAGCTTCCTTGCCTCTGCCACTTTGCTGCTTTGTGCCAAAGTCCTACTGGTTTTAGACCACGCAGATGAAAACCCATAAGGATTATATTAATGTTCAAATTACTTATTTTGTTTCCTGAAAAAATGTRTGCCGCAGTGGGGGCACTTTATGAGCTGGTTCCACCAAGAAAGAAAGGTGAGATTAATCTCATAACCTCACTTGCTAAAAATTAACCTAAAGAAGGTGACTTGAATTCTTTGAAGTCACAAAATGAAAGTAGCTTTCATCTTATGCCCCTTGGCTAACCCAAGGTGCAGGCCCATTGATTCACCCGCTCCAGACATTGGCTTATAGACAGATGAAACACAGGAAGGAGATCCTTATTCTCTGCATTGAGCCTGAGGTGTGGCCAAACCTCCTAACCTCAACACTGTGTCTGAGCAAGATAACAAAGTTTGTGAGTCCTCTGGGGAGAGGCTTGAGCGAAACAGCTTCTGGAAGGGCAGAAATGAAAGAGCAAGGTACTACAGAGGAGTTCGCTGCCCAAGGCCTGGGACCGCTTTACTCCAGGTGCCACAGAGAGCATGGGACGGACCAAAGACCATTTCCAAAATTTAGAAATAGATGAGAAGGGGTATGTCAGGACTTGGTGAACAATATCCATGTGCACAGGACAAGGTTTAAACTGAAGCATGGAGAGGTTTGTTTAGGCAGAGATGGTAGAGAAGAATGCATTGCAGAGGGAAGTGTAGCAGCTGCTGTGGATTGATAAAAACAGGTTGGATAGTAGTCTGTCAGAATGGTCTGGATCCAGCTGGTCCTGCCTTGAGATATGGGAAGGGTTCTCAGGTGTCTTTTATCTCTGGTTTCTCATCGTTTATGCAATGTGGTAGAGGTGTATGGATATATGCTGGCTCTGGTGATATTTTTGAAAATATGGGCTTCTCTTGAAACTCTGAATCTTAACTGAGAGCACCCAAAATATGAATTAAGGCTTGAGTCCATGCTGTGCATGAGCAAGGCTGAGCATGAGTTGATTTAGGTATTTTGGGGCACATGTTCCCATTTTGCTCCAGGCTTCCCCTGCAAGCATCTGTGACTTGAACATCATCTTTCATCCAGCTTTTAAAAAGCCTTGATTTTTCTGGCCTCCATCCACACCCCATCCAAGCTGCCAGAGTCTCTCAGCTACACCTCACTGTCCCCATAAACCTTGGTGTGCTTCTCCTCCAGACGTACACTGGTTCAATACTGGTGGCAGTAAACCCCTACCAGCTGCTCCCCATCTACTCACCTGAGCAGATTCGCCTCTACACCAACAAGAAGATTGGTGAGATGCCCCCACACATCTTCGCAATTGCTGACAACTGCTACTTCAACATGCAGCGCAACAACAAGGACCAGTGCTGTATCATCAGGTGAGTTGCTGAGTTTCCAAAKGGGCCTTATCCTGAAAGCAGATGCTGAGCAGATGCAGCAGGGTTGATTTGGAGCAGCTTATCAGATAGWCTCAGACACTGAATGCCTGATTAGATCTTCCATCCACATATTCCCAGTGCAGAGGWGGTCTCTGCAGTCACTCTGTTCATAGTAAAGGTGCTTTATGAATACTTTGGTATTTACCCTTACAACCCAATAGATCTCATATTCATCTTTAATCTCCTCTAAATTTAAACTCAATACTCCTGCAGACATAAAAAATGTAAAGATCTGTACTTTCTGTGCAAGGCAAGCTTGATCCCTGGGCTAGTGGGGTTCACACTCCTGAACAGTGTCTCCATGCATGGCTCTGCTCTGGACCAGTCAGTCTTGGGCACCAAGAAGTGCCTGGTCACAGTTAAAGTTATATTTCCCTTCAGTATCTGTTCCAAATGGTGGTATGAGCCCAATTTGATGTCCTCAGCTTTCCAACACTATCCTATAAATTCTGAACCCACAGACCTTTTTCATTTGAGGCACCCCTTTCCCCAAGGCATGCCTACCCTAAGTTTCATTGAATAAAAAAACATAACTCTGGAACATCCCSTGTGCAGTATTTCAGACACATGAGYCTGAAAAGGCCATTCAGTCAGGCTTATTATGCTGGGCTAAAAAAAAGCATCATGTGGTGCCCAGAGGAGAGTCAATTCAGTGTGCCAGTAGCCTGAAAAGTGAAATTTTTGCAGTTTCSCCATGAGGCCAGGGCTGGGTACTCAACATTAGGAAGGTCTATTCCAATCACTTATTTTGGCTATCCCATGCATCACACAGGCCACAGACTCTCCAAAAGATTTGTGCCCAGTTCCTTCCTCTTGTAGCATCACAAGATAACTGAGGTTATCTTTCAGTGAAGAGAGAAGTTTGAGGAATAACTCTGGCTTCCTGACTCATAAGCTTCTCCTCTCCCACCTGCTCCTTGTAAAATCAAGCCTAGGGGACCTGTGGWTGCCCCTGCTGTTAAAAGACTGTATTTCACAGTCTGCCTTACTTTGGCAGCTGGTGACAAAGATGTCCCATGGGAACAGCTGGACTCTGAGCCACAGGGTCTGGTGATCACACCTGGAAAAGCACTGTCTGAAAGTACATCGTGACCTTATAAAGCTGATTGAATGATGGCATTTGCTGGGGATACCCACACCCAAGCAACAGCTTGGGCCAAATGGAACACAGAGCAAATCTGGATCTTGGCTGGAAGCTGTCTGGTACCATGTCGTTACCATTTATCCCACATCCAGACCTTGGGATGCTGGAAACCCATCCTTAGTGGTCTCATCCTGACTGTCCTAACAGAGGAGACACAGAGACAGCGATCCCCATGGAGACAGAGMGGGGGACATTGGCAGGGATGCAGCATGGCTTTCACTGACCTCCATTCCTGTTGCCTTTGCAGTGGTGAATCCGGAGCAGGGAAGACAGAAAGCACGAAACTGATTCTGCAGTTCCTGGCAGCAATCAGTGGTCAGCACTCCTGGATTGAGCAGCAGGTCCTGGAGGCAAATCCCATCTTGGAAGGTGAGATAATCAGATAATGGAAGAATTCAGTTGCTGGCAAAAATAAAAAACAGATTCAGTAAACACAAAATATAACTAAATATAAATAATTTATGTCACACTTTTGAGTTTCCAAAAAAAGGGTCAAATTCTTTTTAAAAAGTCACAATGCTGTACCTTTTTGATAAAGAAYAGACTCAGATTCTTTCCCTCTGAACTTATTTTTCACAAGATTAATATTCTCTGATTTGAGCTCTCAAATTTTCCTTTAATATTTTTGACAAAAATTGTTGAAAGCAAAGATTTTCAGCTGACCTGAATTGTTTTTGCCAACTATTTTGTTACTTAAAATTCTAAAAAAATGTGGCTTTCCACTTAAAGCAATATTTTTTTCCCAAAAAAATTCCATACAAAATGCTCAATTTTATCTAATTCTCTGTGTAGTGTGTAAAAGTGCTGATCAATACTTCCTTGAGTATCTGATGTTCAATCAAAGCTCTTTTGAAAAATCTCATCACCTCTTCCAGTGCTGGACTTCACACAGAGTACCAATATTCCATCAATGCTACATTCAGCTAACTAATTATTTGCTTTTTTTGGCCATAGTTGCAAAAATCCTATTGCTATTCTTTGATGGTTCTATAAAACATCAGTTTAATAGGACCTGAGCTTCACAGCACCTTGTGCTGGCCACACACAATAGCAAACCCCACCTTTTCTTTCCACGATTGGTGAATGGCAGCAAAATGCAGAAAAGTAAATAGAGGAGGTCAAGAAAGAGCCAGATAACAAGAATCAGCTTGTGGCCTTAATAGGTTCATTGGCAAGCTGTTACTGTAATCAACCCCACTATTTTAATTGGATGTCTGTAAATTAAACAGGTGATCTGACCCTTCTGACCCAACCTGATGCCAGACGGACCTTTTATGATTATGCAGAAAAATCTCATTTTCCATGAAGAATAACATTGGGGTTGTTCTTTAAGGATGGAGGYTTGATCATCCTGGTCTAGTGGGAAGTGTCCCTGCCCTTGGCAGAGGGGTTGGAACTCGATGATTCCAACACAAACCATTCTRTGATTTTTACCTCCACTGCTTGGTAAAAATAATTCTAAAAATCATTCCAATCCTCTAGGAATCAACAGAAATGTGACAGGTATATAGGTCACTATTGAGTATTTACTTAGTCACTGCTAAGATTCAGGGGCGAGAGACTCTAGTTCAGGTGCATGTCCATCACCTGCCAGAAATCCTGGATTATAAATTGCAGGGTTTGCTGTCTTGGGGTACTCATCCATACCCAACAGAGGATGGGCACGGGTACCTTTCTCTGCACAATCTGTTTGCAGGGAGAAGTCTCCCACTGGAGGCTGGCTTAGTTGTATTTCCCTTTTGGACATATTTCCCTTTTCTTTCCCTCTCAGTCATCAAATCACTCTCCAGCAGCTCTGTCATTTCCTGCACAGTGTCACCTTGCATGCTGCAGCCACTCTTCCTTGACTCACTTGTATTTCATCAGCTGCTGCCAAAATCCTGCTGTCCCAACTCTTCTTCCTGGATAAAGTCACAGCATTCCCAAGCTTCCTTCTCTGTGTTCCTCTCTGTATTTCCAAGGACAGTTATCTGATACACATCTTGTCTCCTCACACTGAGATGAAATGGATCCAGTCAAACTTAAGGGAAGGCTTTGGGTCTGCCTTTTACCCTCTCAACCTCACTCTTTTGATTTTATTTTTTTCCCCATGAGACCAAATCCATCATCCTTGCTGCATCAGGTCATCCCTAACCCAACGCAATTCTTCCCCGCAGCTTTTGGGAACGCAAAGACCATCCGTAATGACAACTCCAGCCGATTTGGGAAGTACATCGATATCCACTTCAACAAAAGGGGAGCCATCGAGGGGGCGAAGATTGAGCAGTACCTGCTGGAGAAGTCRCGGGTGTGCAGGCAGGTGAGGTGATTCACCTGCAAGGCACAGGAGCCGCCCTTTGTCGTGCTGTTCTCCTCACAGAGCTKACACTTGCTCTTCTCCTGCAGGCCCAGGACGAGAGGAATTACCACGTGTTCTACTGCATGCTCAGAGGAATGACCATGGAGCAGAAGAAGAAGCTGGGTCTAGGGAAAGCCACAGACTACAACTACCTTGCGATGGTGAGAGAGCAGCTGAACAGAGCTGGGGTGTTGTGGTGAAAGGTTGTTAGCAAGGGAGAAGGAAGAGAGAGGTGCTTCTGCAGCCAAGAGCTGCTTTGCTGGTTATGACCTTCTTGAGTCTTAGCCACAGGGTTTGAGGGATCTCTTTGTCTCACCACCACAAGGCTCATAGTMTTAGTGGAAACCCTTAATCCCTGTGTCTAGACCGGGCTATTTCCACACTTCTGGTGAAGTAGGACACGAGCTTGGATGGGATGGTGTATGGGGCCCACACCACGTGTTTGGAAGTAACCAGGGTGTTAATAAGACTAGTGCTCTTGAGGCAGTAGTGGACGTAGGGGTGTGCTTGCCTGGATGGCACATTCTCTGCAGAATATGGGGCTCAGCTGCCTGTGCTCCAAGTGTCTGACCCAGCCAGCAATCTCCAGCCCCCTCYCTATCCACCAGAGTTGATATCCAGAGGAGCTGCTAGAAGCAGGTGTAATTAAGGCTGTGCATTATCAACGAGGCTGGGACCCAGCTTTCTAACTGGATCAGGGGGAGCCTCCAGCTCTTTTTCCSCATCTCAGAGAGCTTTTTGTCCTCTGCTGATGGCAGTCAGGGTACCRGGGGACAACAGGGTAAGTGCAGGTCACAGGGCTGAGGACTGAATCACAGAATATGCYAAAGGGCAGAGCCGATCCACAAGTTCAGCATTATCCCTTAGAAAAATATTGCTGGGCAAGGGGAAGCCTTGGAGAGCTTAGGATCCACCCTGGAGCTCTCTCGCTTTGCCCCACGCAGTGTGTGACCTGTTTGTGTCCCCAGGGGAACTGCACGACCTGTGATGGCAGAGATGACAGCAAGGAATACGCCAACATCCGCTCWGCTATGAAGGTCCTCATGTTCACTGACACGGAGAACTGGGAGATCTCCAAGCTGCTGGCTGCCATCCTGCACATGGGCAACCTGCAGTATGAAGGTAATAGGACAAAATGCAGGGGCACGGTCTGGTGCACTGCTGCTCGTTATTCTGCGTGCTGACAGGGAGCCAAGCCTAGAGATGCAGGGCTGKGTCCAGAGCACCTGCCACGGTGCCATGCCAGGGACTCAGGTGCTTATTGTGGCAATGTAAGGACCAGGAATGAGGAATAATTCCACCTGCCAGGCTGCAGTGTGCTCCATGGCATCCACATTTTCTGAATATGGCCATGGGCCATTCAGTGGACTCAGGTTTTACAAGAAGAGACTAATGGAGTGTTTGACAGGTGATTGGATGTGCCTCTGTAAAGGTACCAATCAGCTCTGCTGTCTGAAATTACACAGTGATTAAAAAAGCCTGTTTGAAAGACAGAAGCCTAAAGCACTTAGATGCTGGAAACATTTCTACTTTCTTCACTGTCTGGTCTGGCAGAGSAGAGTACAGGTCCTTTGCAGGCAGCAGCAGGACTCCAGCACATGTGGGAACATCTCTCCCTTCTGATGGCCAGATTTTGCTRGGAGATYGCAYAGAGGCAGTGGAGAAAGACCCTTTYCCTCACCCCATCCACCTTGTGCAGAGACACATCCCTTGCTAATGGCTTTCCCTCTGCCTTTCTTTCCCCAGCTCGGACCTATGACAACCTGGATGCCTGCGAGGTTGTTCAGTCAGCATCGCTCATCACTGCTGCAACTTTGCTGGAGGTCAGTGGCTCTGCAGGGCTGTTGTTCCCTTTCTGATTCAATCCCAGGTTTTTGTGGCAAAGCTTTGTCTGAGCCAGCCTCTCCTTCAGCTTTAGGAAACCTGGATAAGCCTTATTGTGCCCTGCACTGGCAGTGTGAAGGTGGATATCTCCATGAGGGCTCAATAGCCAGAGGAGGCCACAAAGATGCTCAGAGGGCTGGAGCACCTCTTCTGTGGAGAGAGGCTGAGACAACTGGAATTGTTCAGTCTGGAGAAGAAAAGGCTCTGGAGACAGTTTAGAGCCTCTTCCAGTACCTAGAGAGGCTACAGGAGAGCTGGAGCAGAAACTTTTGATGAGGAATGATGGAACAAGGGAGAATGGCTTCAGACTGAAAGAGGACAGGTTTAAATTATATACTAAGAAATTACTCACTGTGRGGGTGGTGAGGCATAGGAAGAGGCTGCCCAGGGAATTTGTGGCTGCTCCACTTGTGGAGATGTTCAAGGCCAGATTTGATAGGGCAGCCTGGTCTAGTGGAAGGTGTTTCTGCCTATGGCAGGGGGCTCAGAACTAGATGGTTTTTAAAGGTCCCTTCCAACCCAACTATCCTATGATTCCATGATTCTATTATCTGAACTCCCCTTCATACCAGAGAGAAGCAAATCAGCTGGTAGCGCATCATCCTAAAAAGGACATCCCAAATACCTCAGTCCCTGAAGCAGAGTGTTTCCCTCATTATATAAAGTTCATAACGGTGCTTGAGACAGATCTCATATAAACTCTGTATCTGAAGTGAGATGGCTTTCACTGAAACYATCCATGCAGTGGCTGGAGCATTCTTCAGTGGCCTTCTCAAGAGCTGACAGGGTTCCCTCAGGGACATCATCATCTCATCTCCGTAGGCACTGCTKGTCCCAGAGTGTGATCCACAGCTCTCTGTCCACTTAGGTAGGGGACATTTCCCTGAAGAAATGTGAAAATGGGTCAAGGTGATGCAAAGCTTTAACCAGTGCTGGTAGCATACAGCTTTGCAGGCTTTGCTCTGCTTTCTCATCCTGTCTTCCCAGACCTTATTAACACCTCATGCTAAGCYACAAGAACACTTTCCTTATTAAAATACTGTATCAAAATGTTAATTTTCCTCTSTGAAAATGCCTGTGTCATCATTTGAGGTACCTGCCCTGTACAGCAGCTGTGTTTGGTGTTGTCTCTGTCAGGTTGAGCCTCAGGATGTGATGAACTGCCTTACCAGCCGGACTATAATCACGAGGGGCGAGACCGTCTCCACCCCTCTCAGCATGGAGCAAGCGCTGGATGTGAGGGATGCTTTTGTAAAGGTAAGTCTTAGAGCATTTCCTTATGCCTTCTGTTGATAAGATGAGGAAATCTGCCCCTTCTGAGACTGGAACATCCACTGCACAGGAAAAATGTCTTGTGTGGTGCCTCTGTGAGCTCAGATCAGCAAATGCCCTTGAAATAATGCTCTAACTGGGATGCACAAAGAGTTAAGATGGAAGGAGGCTGGGTGACCTGTTCTGCAAGGGGTTTGTAATCCAGGCTTGAGATTGTCCTTACTCGAAGGGGACCTGCAGAAGGACCCAGCATTCTGAAATGACTTCACCTCAGCTGCAGGAAAGATCCTCAGCTGCTCTAAATCAGAGCAAGTCTATCAACCCCTCTAGCACCTRCACCTGAATTTCAGGATTTGGGAATGTAAGCAGCAGTAAATACAGCTTAACAGCACAGGRCTGGGGACAGAGCAGTCCAGCAGCCATTTGAGCACTTATAACATCACTTGAGGCTTTGGAGTGATAAAGGTCGATGGGATGGCTGTGCATCACTGCTGTGCTGTTTGCAGCCCCATGTAAAATTGTGAGACAAGTACTGGCATGCTTTGGCCAGCTTGGATCCCCTTTTTACCTGTGGGAAATTGGTAGATCAAGCTGGTTTGATAGTTAGCCTGCAAATCCTGACAGTATCTTTTCTAGTGATGATGGTCCTTTGAATTGGGCTCCCCTCTTGGTAGCACTGCTGTAGCTTATAAAATAAAAGTTATCAGTTTAAAACCTGAAGTTCTGGAATTACTGAGGCAGCAATATCTGTTTCATTAAATCAGCAAACTGTTCAGCCAGTGCTGCAACATTTCAGTGAGCACCTTGTCCAACTGAGCAAGATGTTCTTGCAGCGTAACACGGCTCGGCTCTGCTCATCTGTTGAGAGAAATGTGTGGAAACCAAGTAAGGGATTGTCTGGCTTCACCATGAGCCCATAGATTCAAAATTTAGGGCTATCCAAATTTGGGGTTTTGCTCTCAGTTGTCTTTCAGCTAGGTTTTCAGGTCTGTTTTCCTTGATCTACATAATGTTCCTGAGGCTTTAAACCATGCCAAGAGTCTGGCACAAACACTGGCATTGGCCATGCTTTAGGAGAACCTGTGCCATCAGGGGTGAAATGATGACCCAGACTGGCAGGACACACTGYTGAACTGTCTCAGTGAGCTCCATCTTTGGGATGTTGCAGGGAATTTATGGGCGACTTTTTGTGTGGATCGTGGAGAAGATCAATGCTGCTATTTACAGACCTCCTTCCCAGGAACTCAAAAGTATCAGAAGATCCATTGGCCTTCTTGACATCTTCGGCTTTGAGAACTTCACTGTGAACAGGTATGGAGCATGCAAAGGGAGAACCAGGTCYTAACCCTCCTTCACAACCCCAAGCTCAAGGTCTTGCCGCCCTTTCACCTCTTGGCACCCTTTCACCTCTCCTGAACTGAGCTGGACCGGGCTGGACCAAGCCTTCTTCTAGATGAGAGATTTTCAGAGCTAATCACTTTCAGGAGACAGTGTAGCCCCTAAACTGGTTTGGGCCACACAGGTAACATTGTTTTGGGAGAAAAACTGTTTGTCTGAACCAATAAGGAAATTCTAAGCCAACAGCAGCCTTGCTGAGTGGTTGACAAGGTCTGAGAGTAATGCTCCTAGAAAAATTAACTGTGATGGATCTAAAATGGCCTTTTCTTGACCTTCCCTCCACAGTTTTGAGCAGCTTTGCATTAACTTTGCAAAYGAAAACCTGCAGCAGTTCTTTGTGCGCCACGTCTTCAAACTGGAGCAGGAGGAGTACAACCTGGAGAACATCAACTGGCAGCACATTGAGTTCACAGATAACCAGGATGCCTTGGACATGATTGCCATCAAGCCTATGAACATCATCTCCCTCATTGACGAGGAGAGCAAGTTCCCCAAGGTGTGTTCTGGGCTCAGTCTTGCTGCCAGTGACTCTCCTGATTTTATCCCCTTTGCACTTGCACACTGGCACCCCGTGGAAAATCCTCTCAGCCACAAACACACATTCACCAGTGGGCTGCCTATTTATAGTTTTATTGCTCGGTTAAGTTTTCTTCTGTCAGTATCACAAGCATACTAAAACAAATATTTCTTATGGGAACATATACCTGCAAGAGGCTCAAGARTATCTATTGGCAAAGTTTAAGAGAAAATAATGTTAAATATACTCCTTTTGGAGCACTCTTTGGAATATAGCACCACATACCAGTGATATTTAATCAATTTCTGTAATTTCTGCACTTGACATATCCTCTCCAACATATCACTTCCCAAAATAAATACACATTTCACCCAAGACAAAAAATAAATTGTGCTATTGACTGGAAAATGATTTTAATGGGAATAGCCGTGGCTAAATGTCAGGTCTTTTCATGCATGCACAGGGTACAGATGGCACCATGTTAAACAAGCTGAACTCGCAGCACAAGCTTAACACCAACTACATTCCTCCGAAGAATAACTATGAAACCCAGTTTGGCATTAACCATTTTGCTGGAATTGTTTACTACGAAACAAAAGGTATGGGACAGCAGGGGATGAGGGGATGTTCATGGGAAGACTGCTGCTGCTGTGTTGGAGCAGGGCAGGGTGGCAGTCCATAGTAGTGTCAGTATATTTCTTTTCTGGCTGCAATGACTTGACCCTCCAGCTGTGCCCCTGAGCTGCAGARTTTGGTGCTGTTTCATTTGTGTGTGCCTGTGACAGAATGGCAGTGCTTTGCACTGCTGCATCTTCAATCCAGTCTGAAGATGTGCCTCTGTCTTCCTTCTCATGGTCCCTCTCTCATTCTGCCCACTCATTATTCCCATTATCTCAGCAAGAACATCCAGTAATCCAACAACCCAGAAGCTGCTTGCAGCTCACMTGCTGCCTATGTTGCACTGTGTCATCTATGTGTTGTCCCATTATTTCTCTAGGTTTCTTGGAGAAAAACAGGGACACGCTGCATGGAGACATCATTCAGCTGGTGCATTCCTCAAAAAACAAATTCATCAAGCAGATCTTCCAAGCAGATGTGGCGATGGTAATGCAGGCGGTAGAAGATCTTTACTCACGAGAAGGGGTGTTCCTGGAAGGGGTGGAAGATAGGGGTGGAAGATTTGCAGMGTCATATTGTTCTGATGCTCTTTGGGGTGTTTCAAACCTGTCAGTGGGAGTCAGCCATCAGAAAGTGTTAATGCAGTGTCATGGGTGCATCTGCACTCACGCCCCCAGTTCACTGCATTTGGTTCATTTAATCTTCTTTGTGCCTTGATTGCCCCTCCTGAATTGTGTAGGGATTGGAACAATTAGGTTTTCTCTTGGAGAAATCCAAGAGAAAAAGAACTGTGCCTTCCAATTGGGTTATCCAGATGTGTGTATAATAGAATGAGAAGTAAATTAACAGAGGGCAGGTTTAGGTTAGGTATGAGGAAGAAATTCTTTCCTGTGAGGGTGGTGAGACACTGGCAATGGTTGCCCAGAGAAGCTGTGGATACCCCATCCCTGGAAGTGGTGTTCAAGTGTTCAAGCAATCTGGTCTAGTGGAAGGTGTCCCTGYCCATGGCAGGGGGTTGGAACTACRTGATCTTAAAGGTCTCTTCAAACCCAAACCTGTCTAGGACTCCAAGTGAAAAACAAATCCTGTTGAGCAGAAGAGAACAAAGGGACAATCTCACCGAACCTTAAGCACAGAACAGGACTTGCAGTGATCAGTTGTGTTTTACAACAGCAGAGAGAGAATACCAGTTATGAAAGCTGAACTTTAAAGCTTCCCTTTCCACATCCCAGTCCTCCAGGAGGTTATGTTCTTAGTCCATGCTCAGCGTGAGAGAAGACTGTGTGCCCTGAAGCTTTAGACAAAGACGCAGTTATTACTTTAACCCTTTCCAYCCCACTTGAGCATTTATTACTGGGATACCAGCTTAAATGCTGAGGTTAGTTACCATTTCACCATTATTGGCACAAATGTATCATGTTTTCTTGAGTAAGTTGAAAATCTAAACCTCCCCACTCAGCCTTGCTCCCAAAATTAAAGTAGAAAGTGTTTTAAAATATCAGTCTTGCAGAATCCAAAAGTCCATATGGATCAGTCACTATGGCCAAATCCCCCAGTCTTTACTTAGGCAAAACCATGGGACTGCAGAGGGTGTGGGGAAAACATTTTTCAAAGCAAACAAATTTTTTGGCAGTCGGAGTCCCACTTCCAAATGCCAGCCAATGCCACTGATGGACCAAGGGACTTAGGGACTTTCAGGAGTGCCAAATTTTAAGTGCTGAATTCCTTTAATTGCTGAGGGAGGGAAATACTTGCATTCCCAAGACATTTCTTTAAATATGCTACGTGCTYTTTTGCAAGCCTTCTTTGTAACCTTTAGCCATTCAGTTTTGCTCCTGCTGAAACTGATGATCATTATCCTTTTGACTTCATTAGGAATAAGAGAACATTTATCAACCCCAATTAAGGTACCAATTGGCACGACACTCCTGGTGGGTTCAGAGCTATCCTCACACATGGATACTCCTGTTGAAGTAGACACTAACTCCCTTAGCATCAGTGCTGCCGCTTACTTTGCTTTTTATTGCTCACTCCTTGCTGCTTTTAATTTTTGGTGCAAGCTTTGCARTTMACCTTGGAAGTGATTTCTTTCTTCTTTGAGCAGAGCAGAAATGCGCTCTGGGGAATCCATGAGAGTTTTTGCAGTCACATAAGCTTTCTCACAGGAACACCTACCAAAGCATCTTTAAAAGATGCTGGAAGTATRTAATACCAAAGTTGAGATGTCTGCCTGGATGTCATCTAGGACCTGAGCACCAAAATCTTTGAAAGCACCAGAACATTTGTTTCTTAATATAAACAGTTTGGGGTTTTTTAATAGTTTTGCTGGACATCTTCAGAATCTGTCCCAAGTGGTGGTCTCTGTGCTTTGATACTTCAGTGATGTCTGGTTTTCTTTTTTGAATGAGAGATTTTTAGCCTAACTGCTTTGGAACTGGAAGAGCAGCCAACATTGTGTACCAGCTCCCCTTGTCATGCACAGTGTCATTGTGAACCTGGAGAGAACTTACTCCCTGACCATCACCACACAAAAATTCTCAAACAGGATCCAACATGGGACTGAGATACCTTTGCCATTGCTTTCCACTAAAGTTCAGTTATGTTTGCGCCCCCTTTCTTAGAACATGTGCCCTAGAAAAAGGAGCAAGTGAGCCTGGGTCACGGAAATTGACTGCATGTCACAAAGATGTGTGGTGAAGTGTCCTTGCAATGTCTCGGAACTGTGCATGCCTTCCCTGAGCATCAGTGARGCAATCTGTGCAGGAACTTTCCAGAGACACTCAGGCTTGGTCGATCAAACCCAACATCTTCCCTTAAAAAAAGACAAGTGACTGCTCTGCTAAGGGCTATATCAAATCATGAGGCATTTTGCTCAATGCCTTACAAACTCTGTTCATCAGGAGCTTATTGATGAGTTTTTAGAGTTTTGTGAGTCGGTGAAAAGTAAGTCCTCATCTCCTTACATTCAGTCTTTACATTCATGATGTCCTTATATTCCAGAAACTTGAGAAAGCCACAGATAGAGAAATCTGAAAACTAGTTGAGAGTTTGTATTTGAATATTGTACTAACTGTTTGGTGCCTGAAAAACCTAATATTTGTGCACATCAAAGCCGTGTGGTGAACTGGGTATTCCTGGAGCACTGGGTATTCCTGGAGCATATGGGACTGTGAAGTCTCACTTTTGCATGGCCATCACAGAGGTTTATCTGCATGTGTTTGCTGAACAGAAACGTTGCTTTGAGTGGTGCCAGGTGAAATTACGGATTGAGTGAGACTTGTACACTGTTCCTATAAGGAATCAGCTGCTATAGTTATGATCTGCCAGCACTGCTTGCTCAAGGARCAGGTAGAAGGAGCAGTGGAGAATGGAACCCTGTAAAGGGAAAAAGAAAAAGGAATTTGGGGAAACGCTCCCCTTGGCAGAAGTTTAAATTTTACCAAAGATATCTGATTTTAGGGAGGGAGGAGGGGGGATATCTTTAGAATTTCTGTAAAAATTTGTTTTGTCCCTGGCACCTTCCCATCCACTGTGTATTGAGAGCAGAGATGTGTGAGGAAGAAGAGTGGGAATGGCTGAAATTGGATGGATAATGAGTAAGGTTAAAAAATGTACAAAATTTGTTTCTAAAAAGCAAGAGCTGGACACTTGCAGTTCCCTCAGCTTCTGAGAAGTGAACATAAAGACAAGGGGGAAAAGCCAGGAGAGGGTTAGACAAAAATCTAACAATTAATGCACTTTGTTCATGAGATATATTGCAGCTTTACCTCCAAGACTAAAAATGTCAGGCTCCCATTTCAGTTATTCCTTCTTTTCACTGTTTGCTCTTCTCTGTCTCTGTTTTGTGTTTTGTTTTGTTTTTTACCTGTGCTTCGTGTAGTTTCTCTGTGGCTATGCATCCAGCACAATTGGCCAGGCGCCCTCGCCCACACCCACACCAAAGGTAAACCGAATACATGAGTTCCTCTGTTGTATACTCACCTCTCCTTGACAAGGATTGTGCTTTACTCTTGTTGGTTTATTCCTCTTCCTGCACTATCTATAGAGGATCCATTTCAAGTGACCAATGTGATGGAGAGYATTTTTACAGCTTGTTGAATAGGTACAGGTGTATGACTGTGTCACTTYATTCTGGGGTTCAACTCAGAAGGACTTTATAATGATGAGAATATGGTTTGGATAAAATCAGAACCAGGCTGAGCCAAAGTTTTGAGGATTTTTTTTTTCTGATGTTTTAATCATTTTAAATAACTTTAGATGGATCATCTGGRATTTGGCTGTTGTTTACCATGTTGTCACCATTGGCTTCAGTGGGACATTACTCCACCAAACAAATGCAAATCTGGTCCACTTTTGCTTTTTTTTTGAGGCAAAACAGATCACATGCAAAAAGAGACTCCTGGATTGCATTTCTGGGTTGTTTGGAAATGTCATCATTTTTAGAGGTGGAGGTTAGTCTTGTTTAGAGAAACCTCAGATCTAACCCTTCAAAGACAAGATAATAYGAAATTTTGTCATGATCATCAAAACAAGCTTTTGGCACCTTTTTTTAGGTCTTTTCTGTTGCACCTTACCTGCTGACTGGTTCTGATAGCTTCCCAAACCTTGCTTGCTAGATATTTGGCCATAARGTACATATTGTGTGCTTAAGATTTTATGATATAAGCTTTGTGACTTGGCTCACAATTCCACAACCCYTTGATAGCCAGAGGATTAGCCCAACTTTCAAAATTCMAATCTTGCATGGGGCTGAATKTCATCCCTTCTTGCTTCTGCAGTAYCTTGGATGTTTGGATTTGGAATTCCAATGAGGAGGGTCTGACCCAAAATGACTGAAAGCCATTCATCCCAGAGGTGGACTCCTTTCTCTCTGTATCACAGTTAAAACTGTTTGAATTGGAGCACATCATTGGGCCTTGCTCTAGAGTTGAAGCAAAAATAATAGTGCTTCCTGAGTTAGGATACAAGAGAGCTGGAAAGGGATTTTTGACAAGGGCATTGAGTGACAGGACAGGGGAAAGGGCTTTAAACTGAAAGAGAAAAGGTTTAGATGAGTTATTAGGAAGAAATATTTCCCTGTGGGCACGGTGAGGCACTGGCACAGGGTACCTGGAGCAGCTGTGGCTGCCCCGTCCCTGGAAGTGTTTGAGGCCAGGCTGGATGGGGCTCTGAGCAACCTGGTCTAGTGGAAGGTGTCCCCACAACAGAGGGGTTGGAACTGGATGAACTTTAAGATCCCTTTCAACCAAAACCATTAATGCTTCCATGATTCTATGGTGGGATTAAATCCARGAGAGAAATGTACAAAATCTGTCAGAAATGTTTAGGCCAGTTTATTTCCTCTGAAGATGTCAACAGGAGATACAGGGAAATGGGAGTTTCGTTGTTATCACTGTTGATCTTACAACTAAGCCTTGTGTTTTATAGGTTTTCTAATGAATAATTGTTTGTAGTTGTTAGACACTGAGGTAAGGGTGGAACAGTGAAGATAAAAAAGGTTTTACAAATATATATATATATACATATATGTATATATAGTGATACATGGCATTGTTATGTAGCCCATGTCAACTTTGCATCAGAAGGCACTTTCCAGACTKCACAGCCTTTAGGAGAGAGACTGTCTCTTCACTATATGACATTGCAGAATGAGGTGGCCTCAGCTTTCAGTGGTCATCTGAAGACCATCCCACTGACATTTCATATAAAAACATAGCAAACAAAATGCATGTTTTTCTCAGAAACTGTATGTCACATTGGCATGGCCCAATTTAGTGACCTTTTAATCCTAAAGAGATGGGAGGATGGTCCTTTGTCCAGAACCTTTCCCCAAACTATTGCTATGGTACATGCTTTGCTCTCCTTCCCTAACTCTCCTCACGTATTTCATTTTTCTGCAATTCCACTGCAGCAGGTTGCCTTCTCCTGATGGTGTTTCTGGTGCACCAGCAGCCTTCTCCTTMAAGGGGAGAAAGTGCAGAGGGACAGAAGGAATAACTTCTAGCATTTCTGGCTCAGTGACATTTCCTGTCAGTCTCCTTGCCTTTTGTCTTGRTGTTACTGCCAACAGCCATGAATGTGTTTGCACCTCCAAAGTTCAGACTGGCTTGGGATGGGAGAACGAAGTGGGATTGAAGCATGTCCAGGTGTCACGCTGCTCTTCATGTCATTCTAAACTCTCTTCTGCATGGTCTTTCTCTGGTAAAACATCTGATTCTCTTCTTTTTCTTGTTTTTCTCTTCTGGTTTTTGGGTTTCTTCCTCCTGTGATGTTGAGCACAGGCTGAGTGCCCCATTCTGGGGTACAGCACCACAATCCTGCTCATCCTTCTCCATGGCACACAGGTCTCATCCTCCCTTCTACTGCACTTTGTATGGACACAAGTGAAGAGAGAGTCTGAGTTCCAAAGATGCTGCAGTCTCAGAGTTTGAAAGCTAAGATGTATCAGGCCAGGGAAAAGCAGAATGTATCATCCCTTTCTCCATCAGGCTATGGGGACTGGGTCTAGGTTTAGCAAAAAAAAACAAAATAAAACCTTCTCTTCTGCAATAAATCCTGTATTTTCAGTGCCTTGCTGGGCTGTGTTGACAGGCTGCTCCACTCTTTTTATGGGGTCATTTTGTTGAARTAAGGGAAGAGGTGTCATTCTCCAAGCTGGTATTGAGGTGGGGCAGAAGGAACCACAACTCCTTGAGTGATGTCACACATCCCAGAAGGATGAAGCTGATGCTAAATGCTTGTCAGAGTATTCACTGTGTATCTGAGAGCCCAAATAGAGCTGACAGGGCCACCACTGAGAGGGGTCTGTGCACAAATGACRGGCCCTGGAATGTCATCCCTGAATGGGATGATGTGGTCTTGACAGGGGGAGGCCAGACTGCTCTGACTATTTGGACAGGAAGACAAGCTGCTYTCTGGTCATTGCCCCTTCCTTCCAMCCCCTCGCAGCAAAAAGCTSTCAGATGTAAGGATGGAGATGGCACCACTGCTTTTTGCCAGATCTGGATGCATGCAGGAAAGAAATGCAAGGCACCAGCAAGCTCTAGAAGCATTTCTTGCTGTCTGGGAGCAAACTACTCATGCATTCCCTTATGGACCTTGTACAAAGTTTTGCTCACTTCCTAATACCATGGCTTAAAAATGATCTCTCCCAGCCAAGGCCCAATCGATGAAAATTTGGCTAACACACAATTATTTCTGACTGCCAGCCCCGCTCCTGCATCTTTTGCTGCTTCTAACCCCTGCGGCTGTTCTTCCACATCTCACAGAGGTGACCTCTTGTGCATAATTAGCAAAGTGATAAGAAAACATTCATCCAAGCCTTTCAAACCAGGATTCTTGCTGAAACAGCCTTTTCCCAAGAAAATCTGTGACAAAATATGAGAGTCAGACTCTACAGTGCTCTGCAGGTAGCAGCTGCATGCATTWATTACTCTAGATTTGTTAGCAGTTTTTCCTTCAGGGGAAGATTTTGCTGGGAGAGATCTCTGGCAGCCCCTCCCTGCTGTTCTAGACAAGCAGGCCAGGTTTTTGTGGTGTTTGCATGAGCTGGGTTTTCTCTTGTTGGAATTCCATGATGTTTTTGTGTTTGTCTTGATTGGGTTTGTTTCAACATCACATCCAACCTGAGTTGTGTAAACTCCCTGTTCATGGCAAAGGGATTGGAGTAGAGGGAATTTATAATCCCAGACATTTCTGTGATTCTATGGAATTCCTCAGTTTTGAGGGTGGAAATGTTGAAGGTTATTACTGCTATATGATGAAGCATGTGTAAAGATTTTAGCAAAAGTAGAAATAAACATGGCAACAAAAATATGCAAATAAACRTTGCAATACATGGCAGCAAGGCCAGTGCAGATGAGGATTTTGTGATTCCACATGTGGCCTGACCACCTGCAAAACAGAGGATGTTTGGAGGAAAAAATGCATTAAAATCCTGCTGGAATGCTCCCTTTCAAAGTTCCCAGGCCATCACATCATGTCCCAGGTCATGTCACAGTTCACCCTGTTTTTAATTCAGAGGGAGTTGCATCCTGGTGGCCAACTCTTCCTCCAGCCCTCCCACATCACCTGCTGCCCTACAAAGGCTCCCTGAACACCAGACCTCACTAGACACACAGCACCACTGTGACTGATGTGTAATGAGCTCAGGTAATGGCTGCTGGGACATGAAATGAGCTAAGGACTTCATTTGGAGGAGGTTTAACAAGGTTTTCCCTGAGAAGGGAGAAGAGACTATTTAAGGAAACATATATGTTCTCATTTAGAAACACTTGCCCCAAAACAGAGATTGGATTATTAATGTAACCAAGGGAACTAAACCAAGGAAAAAAAAAAACAAATCATCCTGAATTCACCTTAAATACTCACCTTATTTAGTCTAGTTAATAGTCTTTTCCATAAGTAACTAAAATCTCTGGTAGTACAGGCTGAGGAATCTCAGCAGAAGTTTATAAACTGTTGCAGTCACCCTGCAGCAAGCATTCCCTGGATTATTTTTTGCCCTAAATAGGTCTCTGGTCCTGTTCCAGAGAGCAGGAGGAGCTCAGCCTGACATGAGGAACCATGATTGAGGGTTTGGCATGCCCATGCTGCAGAGCATGGGGATGGGGAAGCCCATGCTGCTCCTGTGAGCATCCCTGGGCAGGTGCATCGCCCCAAGCTGTAATACAGAGAATTCTGATAGCCCAGAAGAGGCTGTTTGCTCTTATGGGCAGAATTCCTCATGGTTCTGCATAGGGAAGATGGGCTTTCCAGTCACATGGGAAGGTTCAAGCAGGAGGAATTAAATCATGGCACCTTTCCTGCCTGCATAGAGCTGTATGGAGGAGGCTGCCAGAGCCCACCACTGCAAGTTTGCAAGCTCTGCCCTTCCCCTCTCCTGCCACAATTTCCAGCCACCTCAGGCCCCACTCCCCACTCCAGCCTGGGCTGTTGCAGGAGGTTCCTGGGGACGTGGCCAGAGGGGAAAGGCACTGTTATCCTTTCATTTCCTGAGCGCACTCCRCTGGGGTTTTGCAGGGAGCAGAGACGAGGAAGCGCTCACCGACACTCAGCAGCCAGTTCAAGCGCTCCCTGGAGCTGTTGATGAGGACTCTCAGCGTGTGCCAGCCCTTTTTTGTCCGCTGCATCAAGCCCAATGAGTACAAGAAGCCCATGGTAAGTCCTGCTTTCCTCTCCTGGTTGCTTTTTGCACAGGACTCCCTATGGTGTCATTYTGTCCTGGAGTTACTGGCAAAACTCCTTTGGGCATCAGTGCAGTCAGGATTGACCCTGCACGCTTAGAAAACCAACCCTCAGCCTGTTGTGCAAGTGACAGAGTCATGAAAGGGTTGGCAAAATCAGGCACTTCCTTTGCACTCCAACAGCACCCCAAAGCCTTTTGCAGGGGGGGCCCTCCTGATCCTGCATTTCTTCCCAAGGACAATCTCAAGGAATTCACCCTGCAGCCCTTTATCCTATAGGAAATGCTTCTCCGTTTCCACGGGGGGTAGGCACCTTCCTGCCAGAGACTTGAGCTGAGCCATGGGTTTAGTTCTATAGCAGAATTTAGTGCTTTCTAAAATTCATCTTCCTGTGGCTGTTTTCCTGAAAATCTTTGCTCCCAATAGATCTCCCTCATTTTAAATCCTGTTTGATCCTTTCCACTGTTTTGGGGGTTTTTTCCCAACAATTGCAAAAGCGTGGTTCTACAAGCAGAGGAATAAAGAGGCAAATAACACAGAGAAAATGTGAGAGGAGCTATTTTGCTCCAATTCACAGTGATTTGCTTCCAAAGCAATGAACACTATGGGGGCAAAATTTTACAAACAAAAGAAAAGGAAGAAGAGAACTGAAAATCCCCCTAACCACAAACTGCTCATGGACGGGAGTCTTGATTTTTGCAGCAGAAGGCAGGAATGAGGTGGGTGCTGCATGMCCTGATCCCACTCTCAGCACCTTGCAGGATCAGACACTGATGCTGTGAGCAATCACTGTCACCTGCTCACCAGATTTAATAGTGACAGTGCTTGGAGAAGAAGAGCTTTATTTGATAAAGTTCATCTGGCCAGCACTGGGGCTTTATCTATAGTCAGTGTCTGTTAGCAACTCAGCTAAGTGCAAAAAAGCATAAAATACTGAATTTCAGAGCTGTTACTTACAAGCAGTGTTTGTTTGAAACTTATTTTTGATGTTCAGTCAACCTAATATTATGCAAAGCAAAAGGTTTGGTGGCTCTCTCAGATCAGTTTACTGTGCTCTTATCCTGGTTTTGCTGAGAGTAAAAAGGCACCTGATAGCCTGTTAATGGAATATTTTGGGTAAACATTTACCATTCTGTCTGATCTGGGATTATCATCTGAACAGAGATCAGACAAGACCTTCTTTATGAACATAGGTGCTGATGAGAAACAGATGTACATCCTGAACTGGTGTAAGCAAATTGTTCCCAATACCCTGACTCTGAGCTGTTTTTACACCTGGATGTCTGCAATTCAGTCTGCTATTTTGTGTCCTGCATAGGAAGTATATATTTCATCAGCTCTTGCAAGTGCTAAGCCAGAAGTTTCTGTTCAACCTATTTGTCTACAAAACTTTAAATGGGACATTACAACAGCTCCAAGTTTGAAAGAATCAGACAAAGAGAAATTAATCTCCCTATTAAAGAAATGAATGGRTGAGCTAACGCTGAATCAGAGACTATAGTGTGATATGAAATGTGATTCCTTGCTAAATATAATTTTAGCCTTGGTTTGATAATCCAAAGGAAAAGAAATCCCAGATAAAGGCACACAGAACTGTGCAGTGTGAATGCAAAAGAGAACATTTTCTGGGAGATCATTTTCTGTCCCTGCCTTTGGAGGAAAACGTACTGATAGTGATAGGAAATGGGATAGCGGAAGGGAAAGGTCAGTGGAAAGTCCTGACTGTTCGTTACTGTTTGTTACTCTGTGTTATTCTAAAACTTTTACTTCCTTCTAAAATGTGCTTTGTGGGGCGAGGGAAAAGGTTTTTATCAGGATGCTGGCTGCAGTTCTCTGGGCTGGAGCTCTCTGTACATCATCCCATGCCTCTGCTTTTGAGTATTGTTCTGGTTAGTCCAAGAGAAAGGTGTGGGTTGAATCAGATAACAAACCATGCCAGAAAGTCAAAACTGTCTCCAGCAGTCTGTGCCTCATCAAGCCCTTGTGCCCAGAGTGTGTAGCTGCCCCTGTGTACAATGAACTGACCCTAAAGGATTTTCAGTCCAAGCCCCGTGTCCTGTACCCTCCTCAGCTGTTCGATCGGGAGCTGTGTGTCCGTCAGCTGAGGTACTCGGGGATGATGGAGACCATCCGCATCCGCCGCGCCGGATACCCCATCCGCTACACCTTCGTGGAGTTYGTGGACCGCTACCGGGTGCTCATGCCAGGGGTGAAGCCAGCCTACAAGCAGGTGAGAATCCTCTGTCAGAGGTAACCATTGATCTCTGCTGGGGAATCTCCAGAGACATTTATGGGGTGTGCATCCTCTCCTAAAACAGTTGCAGAGCGTTTGATCACCAGGGTGTCACAGTGCTGCTCTGGGCTTTCCAAGTGAAGGCAAAAATGGTTACAGGGCTGGCAGGGACAGGTAGCCATATTCAGCGTGTCCCTCTCACTCAGTAAAGCCCTAACAACATCRTTAGCACAAAACTGCACGATTTGGGACCAGGAAAGGTCCACACTGGGCTAAGGAGGAGTGATGAGTGAGTCTGGTCCTGCTGAATCCCAACCCCTTTTCTATCAGGGCGACCTGCGTGGGACATGCCAGCGCATTGCTGAAGCGGTGCTGGGGAAGCATGATGACTGGCAGATTGGCAAGACAAAGATATTTCTAAAGGTGGGCATTCTCCACTTTCCCCCTGCCATCTTGGATCCTTGCCTCCGGAGGCGTGTCTTACCATTTCCTTTCCATCACAAGACACGATCCTTTTCCAGGGTCCCTGGGCTGCCATGTCAGTGGGTAGAGCCTGGGTTAAGGCAGAGCATTTGGGGCCGGTCCTGGAGCAGCAGGCAGGAGAAAATCCTGACATTGTGCCAGCACTGACACATTCACAAATCCATATGGATACAAAAGTGGTCACATCCAGAGCTCAGCCTTTTCCCTCCTAGGCTGAGTCGTTCAACTTGCTCTCCATATCTTCACCCAAAAGGCACAGCAGCAGAAGGGATGCCCATGCAGAGCTCTGYGGAGAGAAGGATGTGAGCACAATAGGCTCGTTTTGCTTTCTGCACATCTCTGTGGAATCCAAGATGTGCCTGCGGTGTCTTTTTCTGCATCAGTCCAGCTGACACAGAGCAGTCCAACACTGCAGGTCCCCTGCAGCTCTRTACACACTCATTTTTCCTTACAAACCCATTCCTGTGCTGTTCTGGCAAGATGAAGTTTCTCTGGAGCAAAAATCTCAGTGATAAACCCTGACTGCTTACACCTAAATTCACCCCCCAAATCCCATTGCCAGCACAAACACCCCCATCTCTTCCCCAGAAGTTRTTCCCACTAGTTGCTCTTTCCAGAGCCTGTTATCAAGGCCTTGCAGCTGTCAGGACAGGAAACAGAGAAATTGGGAGGCCCTGAGTGGCCGCAGGAGGTCAAGCAAAGCAGGAAATGTGTAGAGCTGCCTCTGCTGCACCCAGTGTGGTATGGCTCAGCTTGTCATGGCTGGGAAAGAAAGCTGAATCACACACAGCATGGGAAGGATCAGAATAAAGCTTGGATTGRTGCATCTGAAAGCCTCAGGGCAAAGGAAATTCAGTGTTTCAAGAAGCTAGTTTTTTTTTCCTTAGGGCAGGGAGGTGTTGGAGTCTTGGCTAGAAGTGATGAGACCCAGGCAAACTCAGATTTGTTTACAAACCTCCTCAGTGCTCCTAGGAACTGCTCTCATGGCTGAGAGCAGTAGGAGGGAGCTCTGCGGGGAAGAGCAATGTAATTTGGTTGTTTTCAGATTGTGAAGTATTGCATTTGCAGCTTCTGGATGACCTGGTTCATTTGTGAATGAAGACTGCAGAATCATTAGGGTTTACATTAGGATTTTCCCAGTAATCCCAGATTACATCCCAGATTACACTTGGGATGTAAAAWCACCCAAGAGTTTATTTTGAACAACTMTCCTGGAGAAGTGTCTTGTACCACCCTCTCCTGCCAGATGTCAGGCAGAGGRAGAACTTGGTACATKGGTGCTGTGCTGCTTCCTCCCACAGGACCACCATGACATGCTGCTGGAGATTGAGAGAGACAAGGCCATCACRGACAAAGTCATCCTCATCCAGAAGGTGGTCCGTGGCTATAAAGACAGGTAGGTATGAACCCCTCTGCCAAATGGGAGCTGGGCTCTGTGGGAGGCTTCATCCAGCAAGTGACTCCTGGAGGCTGCATCACTCCTTTGATGAGCAGACGCCCAGATGAGCAGAAGGGACCCCTGATACACTGGCATTCAGGCACAGCAAGTACTGGAGGACAACAGTAGAGGGAAGAGGGTAACTGTGATATCTGCCTCAAACCGGGGCAGAATAGGATCTTCTGTCCCTGTCCAGTGCCGTCGTAGGGGATCTGGTGTTTGCTATGACAGTGCAGCAGCGGTGGGACTCTGAGCCTGCTGAAGGCAGCACAACAACTCCAGTCTGTGCAGATCCCCACAAGACTGCAGAGAGACCACTGGGTCATCTGTGACTAAAGATGCTCTCCCCAAGGCCCAGGAGGTTCAGAATTCTTCCCTTTGCAACCCAGTTTCCAGGTATGGGAGGAGGACAGATAGTCCAGGGGGAGCTCAAGGCACCTTTGTGGATAAAGAGAGGGAGCCACAGCCAAGAGCAAGCTTCACCCATGGAGAAGGGAGAGTTCTTGGAGTTTTATGCTCTTTGATTGTCCAAGCCATGACTGTGGCTCAGGTTGTACTCTGCAGGAAGGGCACATGCTAAATAACTCATMAATATTTCACACACTAATCCTAGTGAGACCCCCATAGGCCTCCCAACCCAATTGTCCCTATGTTACCTACAGGGAGAATCAGATCAGGCTAAGAAGGCCTGGAGGAGAGATGGGGATAGCAGGGTGGTGKTGGTGAGGTTTGCTGTTGGGTTCAATCCATTTGCAGGTCCTAGAGTGAAGTGGAAGTATCCATAGGGAAGAGATTTTAGATGTGAGAAGAGGGTGTTGGAGGAAGGAGGGAACCRTTCTCAGCATCTCCTGCTCTTCCCTTTCCCATAACCTGGCATAATCTACCTGCAGAGACCTCTCAGAGAGAGTCCCTACAGATTTTTTTATGAAAGCAAGGAGAGCTGGGGAAGGAGACAAAAATGCAGTGTTTATTCTACCTGGACCCTCAGGTTCAAATCTTCAAACAATGAGCCCCGGGAGATGTTGATGCCTTGTGGCCGAACCACAGAGGTGAATGACCRAAATGCCTTTGCAGGTCCAATTTCCTGAAAGTGAGAAATTCAGTGCTGATGATTCAGAGATAYTGGCGTGGACATAACTGCAGGAAGAACTACGGTGCTGTAAGTACAGGGGTACTTCCTCACTCCTCCGACTTCCTACGCCTTTCAGCTGGGACACCTGTAAAAGTTTCCTGGTTCAAAATGTCCCACTGAATGTAGGAGCTGGTGGTGGTGGCTTTTTGTTGGAGCGATGAATGGAAGTTTGCTCTTTGGTTTGTCTTCTCATTGAAGAAAGCACCTGACCACCTCCTGCTGTTCTTTTCCTCCTGACTCAGATGTCCATTGTACCAACTGATCATTTGGGGTTTTGTAAGTCTTCCCCTAGCTTCCAGATGTTCCACATGACTGAAAACTCAAGCACAGCTTCCCCTGAAATACAGACTCCATCTCCATATGGGACYCTAGTTGGGTTTCTTACTAACCCAGCCCATGGTCCTCTTCTCTCCCTGTTCCAGCTGGTTCTGAGCCAACAGCAAGGTCTTTTGGGAAGTATGTTGGGGTCTAAAGTATCTTAGGATAATCCTTCAAACCTGTAATGTGATAGAATTAGCCACTTCTAGACTGGCTAGGATGCTGCCTCCTTCCATCAAACACCACCTTGACTGCCAGGCAGGAGGTTTGCGGATGCTGGACCTCCATGGGAGCAAACCCTCATGGCTTGTGGCTACCTTGGGATGACCAGCCAGACATCCTGAGACCTCTCAAAGGCTCAATGGGGAAGAAACTRTATTTGTCCTTCCTGGGTTTTGATTCAATGCAGCAGCCATAGGGCTTCATTCCTCCACCCTCTTGGAGAACCTCCCTCCCAGAGGTTTGCCATGCTGGGGACTGATTTCAGCAGCTCTTACTTGCAGCCGTGCAAGCAGGAGATTAGCAGTGGAGATCTGCTGGCGGTGGGCGAGCCCCGGGCCGGCGGGGTGGTTTCATTCTGCTCCCTCTTGCAGATGCGGATTGGCTTCCTGAGGCTGCAGGCCCTCTACCGATCCCGCAAGCTCCACAAGCAGTACCACATGGCTCGCCGGCGCATCATCGAGTTTCAGGCACGATGCCGGGGCTACCTGGTCCGGAGGGCATTCCGCCACCGCCTCTGGGCCGTGCTCACCGTCCAGGCCTACGCCCGGGGCATGATCGCCCGAAGGCTCTACAAGCGCCTCCGCGGGGAAGTAAGTGCCACGGAGTAGAAACAGAGGTGGGCAGAGGGGAGAAAAGCATGCTTCTGYATCACGTGCTTTTGGGATCTATTTTTAAAGGAAAAAAAAAATCAAAACTAATTAGATGCCTGTTCAGAAGGGCTCTTCTGTTTGTTCCCACAGTATTATCGACGCCTGGAAGCAGAGAAACTTCGGCTGGCAGAAGAGGAGCGCCTTCGAAAGGAGATGAGTGCCAAGAAAGCCAAAGAGGAAGCAGAAAAGAAACACCAAGTACATGGGGGATTGATCTCTTTCTGGGGTTCTCTCTSTTCTCTGGAAACTAGTTTTGCTCCTTTGAGGGACAATGATGAAAATATCTAATAAGGGATTTCTGCCCCRTTTGAGTGGTTTGTATTTAATTTTCCAAAGTACTCTGCGCTCTATTAGTTTGAGGCTGCTCCAAAATTTCTGATCTGCTGCACAGGAATGCCAGAGATTACAGTTATTTTTCACTTGCTTTTGCTATTGTATAAAGGGGGAACTGGAACACTCTGTGTGTGTGCACATGCAGGGCTGTTGTATGAAAGCAAAAAAATTAGGTCAGAGTTTCTGTGCATGGAACAACACCCCTTAACAAGCACTGAGGAATGGGGGAAATGTATTGTTTTGTCCTTCTGCACTTGGGAAACTGAGCCATGGACATTTCAGTGATCTGCTCCAAGTTATGATACGGCCTGAGGCAGCCTGCCTTCCTGAAGCCAGGCCCTGTGGGATGTAGTGCCAGCTCTTTGGAAGGAGCAGTTCAGTCAYTGCACTTGTCCTTTCGCAGGTGCGCCTGGCCCAGCTGGCACGGGAGGATGCAGAGAGAGAAGTAAAGGAGAAAGAGGAAGCACGCCGGAAGAAAGAGCTCTTAGAAAAAATGGAGAAAGCTCGCAATGAGCCAGTGAACGACTCAGAAATGGTGGACAAAATGTTCGGATTCCTGGGGACAACCTCATCCCTGCCTGGCCAGGAAGGACAAGCACCCAATGGCTTTGAGGTACTGGATATGTACATGAGCCTGGCTATCGCATCAAAGGCTTTAGCAAAATATTAATGGATCAGGGAAGAGTACAGCAATTYAGAAAGTGTTCTCTGAAGGGTTCCTCCAAGGCCAGGCTCTCCTCTGTGGCCCCAGAGGGTTATCATTCTGTGGCTGGAGATGGGCAGGCAGCCTGGCAGCTTTTTCTAGGGCTAGTGAATGGAAGAAAGCCCTATCACCACAAGGTCAACAGTGACCTGTGGCCTTCGAGATCTTTTCCTCTGCAGTTCATCACAGCTCACAGCATTTAGCTCTGAGACACCCTTTCCCCATGCTATGAGTTGGGCCATGCTTATGGCTTCTTCTGCTGTKCTGGGGACATTCCTGGGCTTTGCATGGGCTCTGCAAACTCTGGAACTATGTTCCATTCTTCCAGCTGACTTTTCTTCTTGGGATGGAGGTCAGACTGACAGAAAATTCASACCCAAAGGGAAATGGTAGTTCCATATCCAAAGCCATGCTGAGTGTCTGACATGTCCTTCCACAACAGGACCTTGAGCAAGCCCAGAAGGAGCTGGAGGAAGAGGACCTCGATGCAGCACTGCCTCTCCCTGAGGAGGAGGAGGAAGATCTCTCAGAGTACAAATTTGCCAAGTTTGCTGCCACGTACTTCCAGGGCACAACAACACACACATACATCCGCCGGCCGCTCAAGCAACCTCTCTTGTACCATGAAGATGAAGGAGACCAGTTGGTGAGGCAGGGGATGATTGAGCAGGGCTGGGTGGGTTGGAGCAAGCCTGGGTAACCCTCCAGGTGAAGGGTACCAGCAATTTCCATTTGGGATATACTCATCTGCTGCACTTGTGTCCATGGCCACTGTCCCACCAGCAAACTTTAAGTGCAGGTGAGGCAGTGAACATTAGGGGGATGGAGCATTAGGGAACAGGTCTGTCTCTGTGCYTTGGAATTTGTGTTAAGACAAATATGAGGTGCTCTGGGCTCAGGGCAAATTGTTACTTCAGCACCACTTATAAAGCTCCTTGTGAGCTGTAAAAATTGCTTCTTCCCTTCTCCAGTGCAGAGCTAAATGAGAACTCCTTGTCCCATAGCCAGCAGTACAAGAGCAGAAATGGATTGAACCTCTTGTCTATAATGCACATTACATTATCTGTGAACTTGCCTTTACTGTGGTTCTCCTTCCCCTCTGCACTGGGTTAGGAGCTGCCAATCGCTGCCCCTTGATGGGGCTGGCATCTCCTGTCAAGAAGCAAGCCCCTGGTAAGGTGTACAAACACACTCAAGGTGGCACAAACACAAAGCCTGAATGTGTGGTCCCAGCCAGCAGCCCAGCGTGCTCAGAGGGGATGTGTGCTGCAGGCAGAGCTGTTATGTGTGACGCAGAGAAGTGTTTTATCTCCTGCAGATGTACAGAGAGACTATTGTGGGGATACTGGTGGATTCAGCATGGCTTGAGCATCCCATCCACTGCCCTGGAGTGAACTAATGGAGTGTACCTTTCCTTTAAAACAGGCAGCACTTGCCGTGTGGATCACTATCCTGCGTTTCATGGGAGACCTCCCTGAGCCGAAATATCACACAGCCATGAGTGATGGAGGAGAGAAGATACCAGTAATGACAAAAATCTATGAGACTCTTGGGAAGAAGACTTATAAGAAAGAACTTCAGGCTCTGCAGGGAGAAGGAGAGGTAACTGCTGCAGCTGTGAAAGAGATGTTATTATTAGATGTTGGATATTGAAATGTGTTGGAAAGAAACAACTTGTGGGGTTTGCTGCAGGCAATCAGTTTCTTGATTTTATTTATGCTTGTGCTCCAGAGGGAGAGTTGCCAGTGTGCCAGGCATTGATCCTGTTCCTTCCTCACAGGGATAACTGAATGTCCTCCAGCTGAATGTTCTCCAGTAAAGGAAGTGCCCTGATATCTCTCATGGGACTTTGATCTCTCTCCTCCACCCACAGGGCTTAAGTACAGGGGGGAATGCAATGTCCTATGTCTCTTGTTTGGGCATATTCTTTTGATCTGCCTTGAGTCAAAAGCAACTAAATTAAAAATGTGCCCTTAATCTTGGAGCAGGAAGTAATTAGTTACCAGGAGATTAAGCTGTGAAAGTAAAAATTGAAAAGAACAAAAATCCCTATTGCATCCTGAGTGCTTTTTGGGATGTGTCTGAAAGGCTTCATTTTAGTACCCTTCCCAGACAAATGGATTTATCCATTGTTCTGGATAAATCAATTTCCATAGTGCTGATACACTTTCATCATTGGCAATTGCTTTATTCAATAAGACAAGATACCATCTGTTATTCGCATCTTCTGGATGTTATGGTTTAATTTTCAAAAGGTTTTCTTGACAAACCACTGCAGCACTTGCAGAGGTAAATTAACAAATCTCCTCATTCTTAAAAATGTTGATACAGTTCAGCACTCCCAGTGAATTACCTGAGAGTAGCCTCAGGATCATAATTCTGTATAAATATATGCCAAGAATCACCTTCCATTCCTCCTACCCATAATTTCTTGCTTGTTTATTACAAAAAGGTGTATTTTGGTTAATTGAGACCAAATTGAGATCAGGTAGTACAGAAGAGAAGGAAAATTTAATCTGTCCTTTTGCTCTATGGTTATATCATCTCTTCACAGTACAAAGAGATGCCTGAGCYGACCCTGAGTGAAACAATATGCAAATCCATCTTTAAAGCACCGACTCATGTTTATAATTGATATAAACCATCACAGCCACAGGACTCAAAGTGTCAATTGGGTGGGAAATCATGGTCTTTTCAAAGTTGTTTAAATGGGGAGAGTTTAACTGGGTCAAAAAGCTTGGTATAGAAGTACAAAGTCAGCAAATAACTTGATGATACACAGTCAGTGCCTGGAGCTGTCCCACATCAAAGGTATTCTTCTGGGAAACCTGATAGAGCGTGGGGCTTGTTAAAAGTCATGAAACCACAGTGGGTGACTTCCTGTCCGTGAGTCCCTTGCTAGATGGCTTCCAGCTAAAAACCTGCTGTGCAAATCTTGGCTTGTCTCAGAGAGTGGACTTGCTCATCTCATTTGCACTGCTGTACAGCAGAACTGCTGGACCTGGGTTAAGCAGGAATCAGCCATGTATTCAACGTAACTATTTTCAGATGTTCCCATAATATAATTTTATCCTGAGGGTCACTCATTGATTAGAAAATATCGACAAAATTCAGAGTCAGCCCTAGGTTATCCAGGGGCACAGGAATAAGGGCCCAGTCTTTTGGTTCCCACCAGCCTCTGAARCATCTCACTCTCTGCTCAGGATTAATGGTCTTTTGCAGGAGCCCAGGGAGGGGAGGGAGAGCTCTTGCTCAGCACTTGTGTCTCACCACTTTGCACCYACCCCTCTTGCTTTGCAGAGTACTCACATTGATGGGCACAAAAAGAACAGTGTGCGGCACAAACTGGTCTCCTTAACACTCAAGAAGAAATCCAAACTGACAGAGGAGGTGAGGGGAGATGCTTGGCCGCCTGGCAGCACAAGTGCCGTTGGATTGTCTGCAGCCCTCTCTGACTCTCTTCTGCTTTTCCCTAGACAACATAGAACCAGCCCTCCTCTGGGTTTGGCGCTACCTGTCTCTCTGCCTGAAAGATTTAAGGAGTGTTTAAGGGGAAAGGTTGGCTTCCCGTGTCTCCTTGAGTCATTCTGCACCTCGTGACGGCCTCCCCTCGGCACCTGTTCTCCATCCATCCAGCACCTTCCCTCCCCTCTTTCACAGCCCTCCATCCAGCTGCCGATACCTCTCACCACTCTGTGATTGTCTGAAGTTATCCCTGCTTTTAGTTTCCTGCCCTCTGCCATGGCATAGATAGCAGAGCTGGGGTCTCCAACGGCACTTACCCATCCTCTGCTTCACTCCAGTGCCAGGGACAAAACTCCCCGTGYGAGCAGTTACCCCAATCTGAGAACTTTTAAAAAATCCCATCTCAAAATAATGGGAATGATACATCTTTCAGGTGGGGGTGATGAAGACAATTCATAGACTGCCCATAGCCAGAGCAGGCACCAGCTCACCTGGCTATAACCGCTACAGAGCATGAAGATTGCTCTGTGAGATATTCACCCTCCTTCCCTTCAGAGTGAGGAGAAACAGGACTCAATCCAGCTCATCCTAATTGGCYTTGAAATCACTCTAGAAATGTTCATCTCTCTAAATGGAGATGAGGTTGACTAGCTGAGACAGCAAGCTGGTAGGCAGATGAATGCCATCACAAACAGCACCATGCTTATGCATTTTCAGCTGCATCATTAGCATGGGGAATGGGTCCATTTTGCCAGTTAWACACTGATGATTTATTTTAATATGACTCAGTTAAAGAAACAGGTCTTCCTCGGCAATAAAATGGGTTTATTCCAAAGACCCTTGGTGGCCCTCTTCCAGCAGCAGGACCAGTTCAGAGCAGGGATGCCAAGGTGCCATTGTAGAAATAGAAACCCTGGGAAAAGACCAAGCAGGTGGAAGTATGACTAGGCAGGACCATTTTTAACTTCACCTATACATGATTAAAGCCAACACAATCAAACCTTCCCATTGCTGCTAAAATCCTAGATTGGAGAACTTCTGAGACCCCTCCTGGCTGGTGAAGGAGTCCTGCTGGGGGAGCATCACACACTTGGGATAGGGGTGGGGGGGACACAGTAATTGGCTGTCCTGAAAGAGACCAATATGTCTGGTTGGCAGGTGACAAAGAGACTTCAYGATGGAGAGTCTACGCTGCAGGGTAATAGCATGCTCGAAGACCGACCCACTTCCAACCTGGAGAAGCTCCATTTCATTATTGGGAATGGCATCCTCAGGCCAGCCTTAAGGTTAGAAATCAAGACAAAGGCATGAACATGCCATTCTTTTCATTCTTTCTTGAGCTTTTCTTGAGCTATGCAAACAAGTTTGATATTGTCTGCAGCTTTACAAAGCAAAGTTTTATAACTTTTATGGTTGTGTTGTTTAATGCAGGCTGGGCTGGATTGTTTTCCTTACTGTCCATACCAGGCCCAGTGGAAAGACCATGCAAAGGGATCCAAACACTTCTGAAAGTCCTAGGGACACTGGATTGCTTTTTTTTTTTTAATGCTCACTCTTTGTTTCTCACTACTCTCTTTTCCATTTGACCATTATATCTCTTTTGTTTGTGTGAATATTTTTAATTGTCTGCTAATGAAAAACTCAAACTCATTTCAGCTGCTAAATGAAACATTCAAAAATTGGAAACTGTCAAAAGAAAGCCATTTACACATCACTGGTTTAGCCAATTTATGTTTTTATATTAATTGACATTGATAAATGTTAAATAATTCCTCTAATTTTTTTTATTAACTTTTTTTTCATTCCTCTTGTAGGGATGAAATATATTGTCAAATCTGCAAACAGCTGACCCAGAACCCATCCAAAAGCAGTCATGCCAGGGGTTGGATCCTGATGTCCCTCTGCGTGGGATGTTTTGCTCCTTCTGAGAAGTTTGTGAAGGTAAATTGTGGATGACATTTGTGTCATGAATTACCTGCCAATACATTTTCTTTTGCACTCATGGGACCAGCGTTTCTCTTGGGTTTCACAGCAGAGGTAATCCCAGTCTTAGCCAGAAATGAAGATGACAAAGTTCCTAAGAAAAGCAAGCATGATCCCAAGTTCAATGTCTAATRTGAATCAGATGAGTCACTGCTAAGAAGTGACTCTCCTTCCTGCAACTCTGAAGATCATATAGACAATCAGTTTAAAAGATGCCTCCTGCACTGTAGATGTGTGAGGATATGATTAAGTGACTTCTTGCAGGAAATTGGTTTGTGAGAGGCTGCAAGTGGAATTTGCACAACCAGAAGAGCTGACATTTCTCCCCTATTTCTCATATGCAAAGGTCTGTGCATTCATTCAAGAATCTACTGGCTTTGACAGTATGACCTGAGACATCTACCAGAATTGGCAAGGAATATATTTTCAGTTGGTTGTATTCTAAATTGATAYTAAAAAAATGCACATAGAAAAGGAAAGATTGAATTTACGTGGAAATACACTTGCAAAGGTGCTCTCTGATTCCCCACCATGTGCCATATTGAAAACATCCAATTCCATTTAGCCACATGAGATGACATGTAATCCATCTTCAGCAGCCCTGTGGATCAGCAGGACTGAAGTTCRTGGGAGCTGCTAAGTGGCTGACGCTTTTGAAAATCAGGTTTTTCTTAAGGATTTTCTTTTTTCTGTGCAAAATTCTGTTGCCTAGATTTAAACAGTCTGCTTTCCAAATGAGTTGTRCAGTCATGGAAGTGATTAGGTTGGAAAAGATGTCTAAGATCAAGACCAACCACTACCAAGCCCACTGCTAAAGCWTATCCACAGGTGCCACTAAATCAGGTCCACAGGTGCCACATCTACTTTTTTTTTTTTTTAACACTTCCAGGGCTGGTGATTCCACACTTCCCTGGGCAATTTGTTCAAATGCCTGACTGGAAATGAAAATGTTCCATTAATTTCCATAGATATCAGATTAGGTACTGCGTCTTCAGCACTGAAAGAGCTGAAGCCCAGAATAGAAATGCCTCCTTCATCCCCAGGCCTTGTTAGTGTGARCTCTAATAAAGAAGATAAATCACTGGCAAAGTGGTAGAAAATTAAATTATGTGTGGAAGTTAGATCTGAGAAGTATGGCACAGAAAGTTGTATTGGTTTAGATCTTTAATAATAGAAGATTACTTTAAGATAGTGAAGCACTTCACTTCAATAATTAATTAGTAATTCTGGAGACCCAGAATCATAGATGACAGGACCGTAGAATCACAAAGTCATGGAATGGCTTAGGTTTGAAGAAATTTTTATATGTCATCTAATTCAACCGTGCTGCCAGGGGTGGGTTTCCTTCCATTAGACCAGATTACTCAGAGTCCAATTCAGCCTGGCCTTGAATGTTTCCAGGGATGAGGTATTAGCAACAGCATAATTAAAACTACACTTTTACATTGCATGGACTGCCTACAATCATTTGCAAGCTTTCCCCCCTGTAAACTGGCTGCATTACATAGACACCTCATAGTGTCTCTGTAAGTTGTGATTGACACAAATGCCTGTCTCTCTAGCCATGTTATTTATGGCTGTGTTAGGGAGCAATCTGTGCTTCTGAAGGAGCAGCTCTGTGTTATCATTCAGAGAACTCTTTTATAAAGTCTCTCAGAAAAATTTGATTTACAGAATTATTAGTATTACCTAGCATTTTGGTCAATATGTTTGTGTAATATTTTTAAGTGTATTATCTTTTRTGTTGTTGTGTTGTTTTGGAAATTGCTGGATTTAATTTCCTCTACAATAATGTGTTTGTATTTTTAACATATACTGAAGTGTTTCGAATTCTGATTTAGGCCAAAATGCAATTTAAAATCTAACTAAGGAAATACCTGTTTAATGTCATTGTGAAAGATCTTTTGTGCGGGCAGCTAAGTGTTCTGAGTGGCATTCACTTACAATTCCCCTGGGTCATTACTTACACATCTTTTTCATTCACTCCCATCTTTTTGGCCAGCACTCAATAACATTTTACAATACATCTTTAAAGTGCAAAGATAGAAATCAGTGGCAGCAATAGCAGGAACAGAAAACTGCTGCTCTGGCTTCAATCAAAGGTCTCTCTAGCCTGGTATTTTATCTCCTGTGAGGTCAGAAATGCACGGTAAAAGAACAAGGCAGGGGTGCAGACTGTCCTACTCTTTCATCTTCCAGTAATGGGATATAGGAACATCCAGGCCTGAGTGGTGTCACTGTCATTAGTCCCAGAGGGCTTTTCTCCAATAAAACATTGCTTTTGAACCTTTGCAAATGCTTGGCCTCTCAAGCCAAAGGTCTAAACAATGTGTTCCCTGCTGCCAACAGTATTTAAGGAACTTCATCAACGGAGGCCCCCCAGGTTATGCTCCCTATTGTGAAGAGAGGCTGAGGAGGACGTTTGCCAAYGGGACAAGGACACAGCCACCCAGCTGGCTGGAGCTGCAGGTATGAGCCCCTCCATGTCCTCCCCAGGGAACTGGGGCTCAGGGTTTAAGCCTTTCACTGTCACAAAAACCACATCTCTGTCAGGACACAATGTGGAGCAACAAAATGCCAATTTCTGTCAATAATTTTCAGATATTCCAACATTTTGCATTCCCTGTACATCCTGGCTTTGCTCCAGAATATATTTAAGATCGATCCCTTTGGCTGCATCAATATCTGTAAACTGAATGCACTTGACAGTGCTGTTGGGCATTGAGGCCAGCCTGGCACAGAGCAATCCYGTGTGTTCTAGGAAACTGTCTTCCAGATGAAGGTGGCTGCATACTGCTGTGAGTGGTCCCTGGGACTTGTGTGGGGATAACCATTGCAGAAACAAGCAATTTGTGTGGAAATTGCTCTTTTCTATACTGGTTTGCAAGCATATACAGCTGTGCTTCAGCATCCATGAACATTCCCAGGCATGCTTCTGTTAACTGGATTAGGCACCTTGATGACTGAATGTATTAAATAAAATATCTGTGACTTCCAAGTGCTTCCAGTGGCTGACTGTACATTATCCCACTGATAAATATGATATGGTAGCACTGAAAAGCAACCATTCAGCAGGATCAGGATTTARTAAGTGATTACCAGAGTGGGGTGGAAGGGCATGCAGGTAAATTGTGTCCAAATACATGTAACATTATTAAGTTTTACTTTAATCTTTTAGGCTACCAAGTCCAAGAAGCCRATCATGCTGCCTGTCACATTTATGGATGGGACAACGAAGACACTGTTGACCGACTCTGCAACAACTGCTAAAGAGCTCTGTAATTCTTTGGCTGACAAAATCAGCCTGAAGGACCGATTCGGCTTTTCACTCTACATTGCACTTTTTGACAAGGTATGTCTTAAGTTCTGTTTCTGAATAGCACTGTGACAGAAGGGGGTGGTTCTCTTTGCTGTCACATAACTTCCAGAAGGCATAAGGATTATTTCGACAGTGCAAGTGTCAGCATAGTTTTCACAATAAGAGTAGTCAAAATTGTGCAGCTGACTTGTAGGAAAATCTCTTTGGAGGTATTCAGAATTCAACAAGRAAATGCAGAGAAACCCATTCAAAGATGCACCTGCTCCAACCAGTGTGCTGGACCAGAAGCCTCCAGAAATTCCTTTCCACCTATATACTTACACTATGCTATGCTCTTTACTCTCACTCAAGCTTATTAGACATGAATTTCCAGTAAAACAACCTGGATTTTTATGCAAGGGAGCCAATTAAATTTAATTGGAAAGCTAATTGCTGAAATTAAACTTCCAAAATTAACTAAAATCCAAACTGCCATGCTTGCTTTGGCATTTAACCTGATTTAGTTAACCTAAAAGCACATACTTTTCAGAAATTCTGTAAAAATAAAGGTGAGCATAAATGAGAAAGGTAAAATTGCATCAGGTGAGACAACACCTGAAAGTCAATGAAACTGAAGCATTCCAACAGCTGCTGTGTAAGTGGATTAAGTATATTTGCACCTAATAGATGGCCAGCTCTGCCTGCAGATGTAGAAGAAAAAGGTTTATACTCCGTCTGCTTCATCTTTTTTGAAGAGACATTCAGCCAGGGATGCTAAGTCTGAGGGGACATAGTGTTTTAGGGGCTTCATGGCAGACCCCAATGAGAAGACAYGTAAATTTCTGTAACAGGACATGCTTTTATAATATGGCTTTTTTCTGATGCTTAGCATGGTTGGATCCAAGACCATGGTACGGTATGAATCAACACTAGTTTAAAATCGGCTTTGCTGGATCATGTTGCTGCTCTCCTTTCAATATGAAGGGAAAGCTGGAGCTCAAAATGGAATGGCTCAGCCAGCCATGCTGTAGAACTATTCAGTCGTGGCTGGCTAGAAGACATAGATACATTGATTATTTTTGGTTATAAAGGAAGTCTGGCTGAGTGACTCAAAAYAGATTTCTCTACCTAGAAAGGTCTGTGTGTGGTCAGGTGAATGGCACGTTTCCCTCTGCCCTGCCTAGGTGTCGTCGCTGGGGAGTGGCAATGACCACGTGATGGATGCTGTGTCCCAGTGCGAGCAGTACGCCAAGGAGCAGGGAGCGCAGGAGCGCAACGCGCCGTGGAGGCTYTTCTTCAGGAAGGAGATCTTCACTCCCTGGCACAACCCGAGCGAGGACAACGTGGCCACCAATCTCATCTACCAACAGATCGTGCGAGGGGTGAAGTTTGGGGAGTACCGGTGTGACAAGGTATGTGACCTCAGCAGCTCCCAGTCTGGTCCAACAAGTGTCTTTGAGGTGGTGAAATAGGTTACAGCAAAGGGGATGATAAATATTCCTCCCTGGACATTCATCAGCTTGGGCAATATGGTCTTCACTTGAAAAACAGGAGCTACAGCAATCAGATCCTCTTGACTGGGCTTGGATGCTCCCATGTGCTGCATGAGCACTCTCTCCTGGTGAATTTTGGATGGGAGAGTGAGCAGGCACTTCACTCATCAGCCTCGATTTGGAGGGCCACAGGTAGTCTGTAACCAGATCACCAGACCAGGAGTACACAGGAGAGCCTTGCTTGGTGAATCCTGCCAAGCCTTAGGCATCAGAGATCATTTGCAAGGTACCCAGAACTCTCCCATACAATCCAAACCCCATAATGTTGCCACATACTGAACAGACACTGGCAGCTTAAACTTACGGCATTAGAGTCTGAGAGTTTACAGAATTATTGCAGTGTGAAATTGGCTTTTCAGGAAACATCAAAATCTCTGAAAATGTCCATCATGGTTTTTGGGTGGGAATTTTAGGCACATAGCCAATTTTTTTTGTTTGTGGGGTTGTTTTGGGTTTGTTTTTCTTYCTGTTCAAAATCATCCAGGTATCAMATTGAAGATATCTCWCTTCCCCAACACCAGAYCRTTCTCCTGTGATCTGGTAAAGTCCAGTCACCTTGTAAACTAAGTCATCTTTTCACATCTATATTGAATAAACTGYAGCTCTTGGATCCCATCAGAAGTCCTGCCCTTTCTCCTGCACCTTCTGTTGCTCCTGGTCTCCTTGTGCTATTACCATTTCAGTAGCTCTGTTGCTTCACAGCAAGTGCTTGAAATGCAGCTGCACTCTGGGATGTTTTACAGTTCTGCATTATGCACAGGGGCAGTTGCTGCGCCTCCGAAATGTGGGAAATTATGGATACATACAGTTTTCAATCATTAAGCTTTGTCTGCCATAGCAAAATAATGCACTGCTGACTGCAGGCATCAGCAACAGACTGATCTGYAAGGAAAGACTGGGACAAACATTTCCACACAGCACAGTGTTGTGTGGTGCTGGTCACTGAACACATCAAGGCTTAATCATAGCTTTCAGTGGTTAATGTTCTGAACTTTAGATCTGCAAAAAGCTGCAAAAGATGAAGTTCTGCCAAAAGGAAGCATCCCCACACAGTTCTGTAGTGCACCTAGCCTCCACTAGGGTCCTTGAGTGGTGGAGGATGGATGTTGTGGTGACCTGGTAACAGCATTAACTTGGTTTGTTTGSCTCATACAGGAGGAAGATCTGGCAGAACTGGCTTCCGAGCAGTACTACGTGGACTATGGGTCAGAGATGGTGCTGGAAAGGYTGCTAAATCTAATTCCATCCTACATTCCGGACAGAGAGATCACAGCTTCAAAAACAGTGGARAAATGGGCTCAGCTCATTATCGCTGCACATAAAAAGGTGGGGACAATAGATCACCTGGCAAGGACCACATTGTGCTTCAGTACCTTCATGTGGCTTTTAAACATAGGTCAGACATCGCAGCTCAGCTCGTAGCCTGGCCTGAAGCTAAATCAGCGAGAAAGGGCAGGGCTTGTACTAACCATATTCAGCTTTACCACTGGTTTTTATGCAAGATCTGACAGAAGATAACCTGCAAAGATCTACTGTGAGATGCAAAATGCCATCTCTGGGGTGACATTCCTGTTACACAAGATTGTGGTGTTACTGGTTGTATTACAGAGGTGATTCATGTCTCCAGGCACTGCCAGGGCCTTATTATGCCAATCACTGTATAAAACCTCCCTGACTTTAATTAGAACATTTCTGTAATTCTCACATGACACCATTTTCCATAACTCATTACCCAGCACTCATGAGGGGTGATGTTCCTGGCGTGAGGAAGGGCGTTCATTTAACATCAGGAGCCAGCTTCAGATGAAGATCCCTACAATGTAAACATCTCCATGTGCATAGGAGTCTCACCTCACCTTAACTGTCAATGGAGACACAGGGATTCACTTGGATCTTGCAYATCCTCCTTCAGCCTGTCAGCTTTGTACAGAAGTGTCAGGTGTCTAAGGATGCCCTAAATAAGGGGCTTAAGGGCGGATGAGTGTCCACTTCCAGCTAAAGGGATGTCAAGCTGACTGGTAAATGCTACTTCAGGGAGACCCATAGTCAGCTGGGATGAACCTCACTGACACTGGTCACTCCAGATGCTTGCCCAGTATTCTGTAAGTGAAATTATTCCCTGAAGTGGAAACTGAAGGCCAGGACTTTGCCCAAACTGTCACTTGTTCCTGTAGTAGTTTGTTTGGCCCTTAGCCACACTGAGACCTCCATTAACATTTGTTCCAAAATCTTCAGGTTACATGGTTTGATTTTCCTTGCTCTCTTCCTGCATATAACTGTGTTTTGYTTCATGTTTGTTGTGGTCTGCTTTTTCTGCAGGGAATTTATACTCAGAAGAGGACAGACCCAAAAAAGGTCAAGGAAGAGGTAGTGGATTTTGCACGTTTCAAGTGGCCTTTGCTGTTTTCTCGGTTTTATGAAGCCTTCAAATTCTCAGGTGAGTCAGTAGAGCACACCCCCAGAGCACAAGATGCTCTAAAGCAAAATGAAGGAGAGATGGGGATTCCACAGAAAAAAAGGAGACCATCTACCTGGTCTTTTTTGGATACATTATTTTTTGTTGCATCCTGATGAGCAATGGCTCAGGCTATGGGACTGCCACTATTTCTTTCTCTTTAAAACAACTCAGAGCTTTTTGCATCCTTCTTTGAAACATTTTCTGTATCCTGACACCCTTCATGAACTGATTGAATGTCTTGTCTTCAACCCAGGGCCAAGCCTGCCTAAAAATGATGTGATTGTAGCTGTCAACTGGACAGGGGTGTACTTTGTGGATGAACAGGAGCAGGTTCTCTTAGAGCTCTCTTTCCCAGAGATCACAGCTGTGTCAAGCAGCAGGTAAGGAGGAACAGACTTAGCTGGCAATCTCACCATAAATCAGTMCTTTTCTAGGCTTTGCCTCTGGATGTCATAATGTTTCATATTCATGTCTCCTATAAAAATGTAACCCAGAGGAGGAAAGCTGCAAGGGCAGAGTTTCACCCTGGCCACCATTAAAGGTGATGAATACACTTTCACCTCCAACAATGCAGAGGATATCCGGGACCTGGTGGTGACCTTCCTTGAAGGACTAAGGAAACGATCCAAGTATGTGGTCACTCTCCAAGACAACCCAAACCCAGGCAAGTAAATAGTCCAGTTCAGTGGTAAGCATATAAATATATTTAAAATTCCCAAAGAATTTGTGAAAAAAAAACAGTTTAAACCAATGGTTGGGKTTTTTTTGCAGTGGGAGAAGAATCTGGGTTCCTCAGCTTCCTTAAAGGAGACCTGATAGTTCTGGACCAGGACACAGGAGAACAAGTGATGAACTCAGGGTGGGCTAATGGGTTCAACGAACGGACCAAGCAGAGAGGGGATTTCCCAACTGATTCCGTCTATGTCTTGCCTACAGTCACCATGCCTCCACTGGAGATTGTGGTAAGCTTTCTTATGGAATTACACAACTTGGTACAATGCCCAGGGAGGTCAAAGCCTTCCTGAAGTGCTTAGGTCTGGCCAGAGTCTCCCTGAAGGTAAGGCAGAAACCAAAGTGGATGACAGAGGTGACAAGTTGTCCAAGGTAAAAGTGATCTTGGCCCTTCTTTGGACCTTGGCACTCAGGGCACCACAAACTTGTGACTTGGAATAACCATGTTTTGTGGTAAATTCCTCCAGCTGGCCTGAATCCTTAAAGGTGTATTTGTGGTTGGAGTGAATGGCTCCATCCACACACAGAGCTGTAGGATCCAAAGCACATTATTTTCATGGGGAAATGATCCACACTATGGAAACATTTGTTATTCCTTGCATTAGTGATTGAGAATGGCACAGAGAAMTAACAACTGCACAGATCTTAGTGACTGTTAAGGAGAATTTATGGATTATTCTCATTCTCACTATCCTTGTTGTTTTGTRTCTGCTTCCTATCTTTGAACACATCAGATATATTTTATTTCAAATATACCAGGTAACAAAAAAACTTTTCATCCCACAGGCCCTGGTCACAATGACCCCTGACCAACGACAAGATGTTATCAGAACCTCTCAGATGGCAATTTCAGACAGTGAAGAGAGAGTAAAGCCATACACCTTGGAGGAATTTTCCTATGATTATTTTAGGTGATTTTTTTAAATCATCCTCAAAAATTATAGGAATCCATCTGCAGGTAGCTTGGGAATCAGGAATATTTTGCTACTGGAAAAGATTCTGAATACCCCATTATGTGACTGTAAAAATGCAACCTCCAGTTTAGGTCATGGCATTTGAACTGCAGGTTTCCCACAGAGAGGGTTTTACAAAGGATTTCTTCTCAGCAAAGGTGTAACAATGTAAAATTTAATATTATATGGGAGGATGTGCTTAGACTATACAGACATTGTCAWCTCAGCTCCAAAAATTTAAATGTGCACCACTGCTGAATGCAGCTGAGCAAAGCTCCCACTTCTGCTTGGATGGGCTGTCAATCCAAACAGGCAGACCAGATCATCTGGGATGTCTTCCCCTTGGTCAGCTTGTACTGCTAGGTGATATTCTTTTGGTGTGGCTGCCCAGACSATTCATTGCCATCATGCTTCCTGTGGTTAGAAGCTTTTTGGGATAGGGTAGGTGGTTGTGGTAGCAGTACTTGAGTAGGGTCTGAAAGAGACTTTTCTGAGCTGTGAGAAAGTACAAGTGGTCATCTTTGTGTGGAGYTGGAGCTGCATACTTGCTAAATTGTGACATCCCAGTTGATGTAGGAGTTCACTAGCCAGGTGCTGTGAGCAGCCTTCCTAGGTGGAGCACYGGCCACAAGCTGTCCCTTTTATCCCTGTAACCTCTCCACCTCTTGCTTTGCATTTTCCACCAGACCACCTCCAAAGCACACCCTCAGCCGGGTCATGATCACCAAGAGCCGTGGAAAGGACAAGCTGTGGTGTTACACCCGTGAGCCCATCAAACAGCCGCTGCTGAAAAAGATCCTGGGCAGCGAGGAGCTGTCCCAAGAAGCCTGTATGGCCTTTATTGATATCCTTCCTCTGCTTGGGAATGCCATTGAGCAACGGGTCTGACAGGCAAAGGGCTGAACAGGCTCTTTAGGGCCCCAAGCAAAGCCCACAGAAAGGTTTGTGGTCCCTCTTGAGGGCTGTAGGACTATGTCATAGGCCTGGAGACAAGTCTGTGCCACAGATCTCTGCTTAAGCATCTTTGAAATCTGAGCTGTGTCTATTTCTTAAGAAATCAAGATAAGGGGACCAGTTCTTGAGTCCTGCTGGTCCACACTCACTGGCGCTGTGSTGTCTTGGTTCAGCTGACTCTCTGCAAAATGAGGCTGCTGTGGAGGGCCACAGCCCTAACCAGTGTGGATGCAGACCAGTCCATATGGGGACAGGGTTTGATGTCTGAATATCCCCTTGCAGCCCCTTCTGTAGTCATGTGTAGGATGTCTTTAACAGCATCACTAACAGAGTGGCTTTCCCAAACATCCCAGTTAGCTGATCCTTGACTCCTACCTCCACCAGTGCTGAAATACATGGGTGACTACCCATCCAAAAGGACCCGCTCAGTCAATGAGCTGACMGACCAAATATTTGAAGGTGCCTTGAAAGCCGAACCCCTGAAGGATGAAATCTATTGCCAGACCCTCAAGCAGCTCACAGACAACCACATCAAGTAAGAGCTGTTCACTCCTCTTGGCCCAAATGCCCTAGACTGTGTTGGGCACACCAGATCTGAAGTGTCTGTGCCATGAGTGACTTCTTTTTCTCCTGGGTCTCTTCTTGTGCAGATACAGTGAAGAGAAAGGCTGGGAGCTGTTGTGGTTGTGTACAGGCCTTTTCCCTCCGAGTAACATCCTTTTGCCCCATGTCCAGAGGTTCCTACAGTCCCGGAAACATCACCCCTTGGCAGCAGACTGCATCCAGAGACTCCAGAAAGCCTTGAGGTATGACACCAAAAGACCTTTTAGTCCTGACTGAACTACAACATGCAAATATATGTGAGAAAATACAGCTAGGAGATATTTTGGTGACTGGGGGCAGAGTGAAAGCTCACAGCCTCTCTCTGTTCCACCAAATTGATTGAAACGGACATTGGGTTGCTGATAAGCAGTGCAGGGAAACAAAAATTAATCAACTTTGTCCAGGTCCACTTAAGTCACTTGCTTCTTTTTAGGAGGAAAAGAAAACTTATATTAAGGAAACTAGCTGAAGTTACTCAAAAAGAATAYGCATTAAAAGGGAAGATTTAAACAGAGGATTCTTGCTTTGATGATGCTGTAACACTTGTAACCTCCAATTTTGCAGGAATGGATCCAGGAAATACCCACCCCATCTGGTAGAAGTGGAAGCCATTCAACACAAAACGACCCAAATTTTCCACAAGGTTTACTTCCCTGATGACACCGATGAGGTAAATGGGAGAGAAAGAATTTCTTTTTGGTCAGGATGGCTGTCAATTTTCTTATTAAAATTCTGATTCAGAAAAGCTYAGCCTTTCCAGAGGACTCTGGGCCGAAGTATTACAAGGAAAATGCATCCTTGTCTACTCTGATCTGTTATAATGAGGGTTTTTCAAGATATGGGTGCTCTGCTGGTGTTCACTGGAGACCTTATAGTAGGACTGCAGAAAGAGGGAAGCTGGGTGGGTTCATCCATTCACTCAGAGTAGCTCRCAAGCCTTGGCTCTCAGTTATTTGGAGCCTGGACCAACAGATATTGTCCACCCAATGAAAASCAGGGGGTACCATGATGGGGCTCCCTGGGGACTGGGCAGACTGTTGCAGCACTGACAAGTAGGTGACTGAAATGGTGCCTTCTGACCTGAGATGACACAGAAATCATACCTGCACTCAGGAACCTCTCATTAAGCACCTTGTATGTTGATAAGGCAGCTAGTCATATTGATGCCAGCAGGCAGGCATGTCCTTGCAGATGCTGCTGTYTCACGCTACTGATTAGTCTTCCTGTGAGGCTCACATCTCTCTCTTCCCTCGTGCCCTCGGGTACAACTAAATTCCTGTATTTCCAAGTGGGTTTATTTGCAAAGCAGTCCACACCCATGGAAGGAAAAGGATGTGCATGCCTTTGTTTGTCTGTAATGGAGAGCTGAGAGGACTTTTGGGGTTTCTCATCACTTTGAGCATTTTTTCCTGCATGGCCAGCAATGACCATGACACTGCTTTATACACATGCATTTTGTAAGAGCCAATAGTAGGAGGCAGTGAAGACTTCTGCACTGTGATGGGTTTGCTGTGATCTGTTTGGCCATGGAAGTCACCAGGTGGACTGGCAGAGTAGCATCATTCTCTACAACATGCATCTGCACTGAAGTGCTGCKGAGCATTAGCAGCACTGAGCTCCAGATCACTCTTGTGGGATGTGGAACACAGATCCTGGTGGTTTGGTGGTTCAGGCAAACACAGTCGTGCTTGTGGTGGTCAGAAGCTCAATTTTCTTAAACTGCTATGAACTGAATCTCGTTAAGTGGGCAGAGCAAAACTGAGGCAATGTAAATGCTGYGTACAGCTCAAAAGGCAAAACCAGACTTGGGATGTGCATACAAATGGGACAGGCCTTTGGATATCCATAAATCAGGAGTCATTTTTCCCACTATTCAGCTATCTCAAAATCAGGCATCTGGCTTAGGCCTGGTCTGAGCCGGGTATCTGGCCTCCTCATCATCAGTGGAGAGACAGCTGGGAGAGATCAGCCTGGAGGTCTCRCACTCTGTCTTTCCCACCTCTCTTCCCTCGAAAAAATAGTTCTGCACTGTTAGACCAGAAAAATCTCTTACATTGCCTGGAGACCTCTGGATAAGCCAGGAAGGATGTCTACAGGATGTAGACAGAGTATCACAAAGCACAATGGTGAAGGAGTAGCATGCCAGAGCTCCTGCAGACATCCCTTCCAATGCACAGAGCCACAATCCACAGTGTCACTGATTTCACTGGTGGTGGGCATCTAAATCCCTCTATGTATGGACAGGAGCTCCCCAAAGAGAGCAAAAAGTGGAAATGRACCCTTAAATAGCAGTGGTGATCTTCCTCTCTTTGTAGGCATTTGAGGTGGAATCCAGCACGAAAGCCAAGGACTTCTGCCAGAACATCTCCAACAGGCTGCTCCTGAAGTCCTCTGAGGGCTTCAGTCTCTTCGTCAAAATCTCTGACAAGGTGAGTGAGCCACCCAGAGGCTGAGGTAGCCCTGAGAGACTCRGGACAACCTGCTTGCCAATGGGTACACATGGGTGGAGCCAGAGCCGTGTGGTGAGAAGCATTTCTCTACAAACTGTGTGGCATTTCTGAGTCACATCTGACCTGACACAGGTGAGGTTTGCAGTCCCACAGCTCTGACTTCCAGCAGTCACCCCAAAGGACTAAAAACACAGATGGGCCAAGCTCTCCTAGCCTGTTGCTGAGTTTGGGCATATAAGAAAGGACCAAGTAGGAAAAATGTGCATCTTAGAGCTGCCTCTGGCAACGGGGAGAAATCTGTGGAGATAGTCATCAGAAAAGGAATTGTTCTGGTGAAACAAGCTGCAATAAGGAGTAATGGGTGAAATTAGAGACAGAGCCTGCAGCAAGGTGTTGGCAGTGGCTTTCTCACATCAGCAGTTTGTAACACATCAGTGTGAGCTGCACAAAACAGTGAGCAACAACTACAGGAGACAGGGCAATGGCCAGCCCTGCCTGCTATGTCCTGCCACTTGTTTTAKGCCCCACAATATAAGAAGGAAATAAAGCTGTTAGAGAGCATCAGAGGAGGCTACAAATATGGTGAAGAGCCTTGAGGGGAAGCCATATGAGGAGCAGCTGAGGTCACTTGTCTTGTTCAGCCTAGTGGGGTAGACAATGGTCTCTTCTCTATGATGACCAGTGACAAGACCCAAGGCAATGGCCTAAAGCTGTGTCAGGGGAGGTTTGGGTTGGATATGAGGAAAAGGTTCTTCATYCTCTGGTTGGGCACTGCAACAGGCTCCCCAGGGAGGTGRCCACAGCACCAGGCCTGACAGAGCTCAAGAAGTGTTTGGACAATTCTGTCAGGCACATGGTGTGATTCTTGAGGGCATCCTGTGCAAAGACAGAAGATGGACTTCTGGATTTCTTCCAACTAATGATATTCTGAGATTCAGTTCAATGATTCACTTGCTCAGCCTTTGTGACCATGTGCTGTGCCCCCAGGTCATCAGCGTGCCGGAGGGAGATTTCTTCTTTGACTTTGTGAGACATCTGACAGACTGGATAAAGAAAGCAAGACCAGCAAAAGATGGTAATCATGACTTTTTTTCCATTGTGGGTCACACACAGCCCTCCCACAGCCCCTGCTCTGGCCTCTGTGACCTGCGGCCTTCCTGTGGCTGCCCCTGAGGGACACCCATGGCTTGGCCACTCAGGGCCAGGTGAGCATGGCCACTCCAAGAGTCCCTGAATGAYGAGTCAGCCRGRGCTTGGGGTGGCACTRGGGGACAGAGCAGGGYRCTTAAAGCCCCACCTTTAGCAAAGCCCAGCCAGTCCCTCCCAGCAAAGCAGGCACTGGCATTGCAAGATGCTGMGAGACATGCAACATCCCGTCTCTGACAGCAGCCTCCGTGCTGGCCTGGCAATGCCTTTCTGAGTGCCAATGTCCCTGGGGCTGGAGGCTGACAGCTCTCTGACACCCAAGCCCAACCCACAGGGCCACTTGTTGCTGGGGCCTCAGTGCCCACCCCTATTCCAGGTACTACATAGTCTGCCACAAGCATTGGAATGGGCTGTTCACAGAAGTGGTGGAATCATTGTCCTCTAGTGTTAAAAATAYGATGATGTGGTGCTTAGGGACATGGTTTAGTGGTGGACCTAGTAGTGTTAGGTTAATGGTTGGACTCAATCTTASAGGTSTTTTCCAACCTCARTGATTTTGTGACCTGTTGGGCCACACTGATGGGGATGTGCTCTCTGCACTATCCTGGGGACATCACCTGGGAGGTCATCGTATATATTTACTTCCCTCACACAGGTATAGTGCCTTCCCTCACCTACCAAGTGTTCTTCATGAAAAAACTGTGGACCAACACAACTCCTGGAAAAGACTCGATGGCAGACTCGATCTTCCACTATTACCAGGTACACCAGGACTGCAATAGCAGTTCAGACTCGGGAGGGATTAGGATTAGGTTGCAAAGACTTTTCCATCTGGGGATGGACACAGGGCACAGCCTCTTAGCCAGGGACTGGATACCCTCACAAACTCCACATTTAATATCTGAGGGTGAAGGTCCACGGGCATCCTGTCTACCTCTCAGTTGTTCTTTCCTCCATGCAGGAGTTACCAAAGTACCTRCGTGGCTACCACAAGTGCTCACGGGAAGAGGTCCTGCAGCTGGCRGCTCTCATCTACCGGGTCAAGTTTGAGGATGACAAGTCCTATTTCCCCAGCATCCCCAAGCTCCTGAAGGAACTGGTGCCTCAGGACCTCATCCGACAGATCTCYCCAGATGACTGGAAAAGGGTAAACCAGCAGCTTGATTCAAACGCCAGGCCTGGCTGAGGGAAGCCCAGTCTCTCGGGTGATTTGTCTGACATTCAGTGTTGAAGCTGGGCTGCCAGAATGAGTGACCCCTGGTTCTTCTTGAGCCTTATCAGAGTTTCAGGCTCCCTGGCACCACCAAGAGGAGCAATTGTATGTGCTTTTTTTTTATGTTCATATACACATGCTTCGCCCTGGGTTTTCTTTGTCCTGAGTCTGTGGCTGTAGTGGTGGCTGCAAAGCCAGATGGAAACATGCACGGGTTCAGACAGGCCTAGCCTGAAAATATTAGATGAGTCTTACTGTCAAGAAATAGTCTGATAAATCCTTTATGTTTTCTATCTATCAGCATCTCTGGGTTGAAGGTGTCTCAGTCTCCTCTGCTGCATAAATTGGATAATCAAAATTTATAATCTCTTTAATGGCGTCAGCAGCTCAGCTTATCGAAGATGGACCTGCCTTGGTTCCAGGCCCTGCTCCAGTGACCAGCCAGCACTTTTTTGAAGTGTTCTTTGGAACAGAGGCTAGAACCAAACATCMAAGTCAGGTTGGACWGGACTCAGAGCAACCTTCTCTAGTGGCCCTGTCCACTGCAGGAGAGTTGGACTAGATGACCTTTAAAAGGTCCCTTCCAGCCCAAACTATTCTATGAGTCTATCACTGTGCAACTGATGCTCCTTCCCTGCGAACCCCCTTAGTTCCAGGTAGTGCAGGCTCWCCATGTCTATTGTATTCTCTGTTGCAGTCCATCGTGGCGTACTATAACAAACATGCGGGCAAAACAAGAGAAGAAGCCAAGCTTGCCTTTTTAAAGATTATCTTCAAGTGGCCTACATTTGGATCAGCATTTTTTGAAGTGAAGGTACCTGCCCTGGGGGGTTCTCTGGCAGATTTAGCCAAGGTCAGTAGCCCTGTACCACAGAGGGGTCCCAGATCTGAACCAGACTGGGACAATCCTGATGAATTAAGGAAAAAGTGTGATATATTTCTATCAGTAAAGGGCAAATACACTCRTTCATTGCTGCCCTGCCTCTTTAAACAGACAGAAGCATTGTAGAGCTTCAGCATATCTCAGTCATTTGGGCTGTTCCACAGCTGTGCTGCTGAACACAAGAGCCCTTCTCTGTTTTGCCAAGGCAAAGGGGAACCTGCAGTTTTCCAAGGGATGTGTCTCTACCCACCACAAACCAAATCCAGACCATCAACCATGGCACTAGAGTTCCATCAAGGACAGTAGATGCCAGTGGGRTCAGGAGAAGACAGGGAGAGAGGAAATAAGAAGGGGTCTGATTTTGCATGACACATCCCCTAACCAGTTCATCTCCTTTTCAACAGCAAACTACAGAGCCAAATTATCCAGAAATCCTTCTAATTGCCATCAATAAGCATGGAGTCAGCCTCATTGATCCCAAAACCAAGGTAAGCAAAAATTAGGTATTGACCAGATGCTCCTAAGCCCAGTCCCCAAGCCCTCACAGAAGCCATCCCAAAGAGAGTGTTGTTCAGAACTTAGCGAGGTTTTTTTTAAGCCTAGTTAGAAAGGCTGGATGGACAGAAAACTTTCTGGAGGCAGAAATTTGCTGTTGCACAGAGCCAGCTCTTTTTCAGCAAAAGATGGATTGGGAACACCAACTGTTAGGGCCTGTACCTGGAGGATATACACACTCCTTTCTTAATCCTTTCACAGGCAATAGGACAGGAGCTGGAGTAAATGAGATTCTACTAGTTACTTCCACTACCTGCATGGTCATTTATTATGGCAGTCCTTCACAAGCTCTGGAGCACCTGGAGTCTTGCATCTTACTGCCATTCCTATGAGTCTCATCACAGCAGACATCATTGGTCTGTTCTGATGTGACCAGGGACATGAGAAGTGCCCACAGCCCTTGATGGAAGTTGAGGCTCTTGCATATTGAGTGTGAGTCTTGTGTTCCCTCCAGGATATTCTCATCACTCACCCCTTCACCAAGATCTCCAACTGGAGCAGTGGCAACACGTACTTCCACATAACCATTGGCAACTTGGTGAGAGGAAGCAAGCTGCTCTGTGAGACCTCCCTGGTAAGAAGCATTAGAGATTAGACCAAATTCTGACTTTGGCAGCAAATTGTGTCTCAGGGATTCTCTGGGCTGAAAGTGGTCTCTCAGGAGAGCAGCTGATACTTCCTTTTTTTTCCTTCTGAATTTCCCATGGCTTTGTTCAATGAATCAGGGCTCTCACTTGGTCCATCATCCAATGTACAAGCAAGCCTAACGTGCTGGGGATGTTGCCATGTCAGGAACCTGGGGGACTGCTCCCTATCACTGGACTGAAAAACTCACTAAAGCTGMTATGGGCTCAAGTGATACTCTTGAGCCTTTAACCAATATAATTTACCCAGCTTGCCCCTAGTAACAATCACAGCAACAAACCTCCTATTTTAAGCCCATAGCACAAAGGATGAAGACTTCTGGATTAATTGTAACTAATCTGAAGCATTTGGTATTTTATTGGTCATTCGAAAATTCATGTCCTATCCAAAGCTCTCCATGCCCTTAGCCACAGGACCATCCTGGGACAGGGAGTTAATCTCTCTCAATGTTGCAAATTACATTTGGACAGTGTTCCTTGTGGTGGTTTCACCCAAGGAGAATGATGGAACAGGTCAAAATGTACCTGAAAACTTGAAAGTCAACAGCTGGTAGCCAGCGTGTTCAAGAGGCACAAGCCAAAGACTGTAAACTGTGCTCTAGAGGCTGGTAATGTCTTCTCTCTTCTCCTCAGGGGTACAAGATGGATGATCTTTTGACCTCGTACATCAGCCAGATGCTAACAGCCATGAGCAAACAGAGGAGTGCAAAGGGTAGCAAGTGAACTGCAAGAAGCCACTGGCACGTGGTCATGGGGCTGATTTACCAGCTGAGGGCTGTGGGATACCCGTGCAGCTGGGCAAGAAACTTTGCCTCCCAGATGTGGAAGATGAGCCGAACACCATCAGGGAGTTCACTGGACTCTGACCTTGAGGGCTCCAATCCCACCTCCCCTTCCAGCGAAGATGACTATCTCTGACCTCCCATTCACCTTCCTCACCTTGCATCCCAACTCCATCCTACACCTCAAAGATTTCCAGGGGACACCACTGCTCTCAGAGACTGACCAAGGCAAAGACGCTCCAGCAGGAGATCTGCCTGCACTCCATGGTTGGCATCACAAAGGCTCTTGGACGAGGATTTGTGTGTGTGTGTGTGTGTGTGTGCGTGTGTGGCTTGCTTTGTTTTCATTTGTTGTTTTTTTTTTCTTTAATATGAGAGCTGTTAGGATGCTAACACATTTTTGGTGAAGTTCTGGGAATTTCAGGTTTGAAGAGGAATAACAGAGCCCTGACCCGTGCTGGAAAGAYGTCCAATGAACACTGCAGAGCTTGKTTTTTTTGTCAGTACAAAAGAATACACTGTGTTCTTCAGGATACAAGGAAAAAGCAGGCTGGGAGGAGCACATTTTAACTAGGAATCAGAATAAACAAATTACTGATTGAACAGGCTAGAGTACTAAAGTGCTATCTGTGCAATGCTGGAAATATTTAAAGAACAAATTTTAAAGTTTTGTTTCTTCTTCTATTTATTTTTTAAAATATTAAAAAGGAAAAAAAAATCCTGCATTTTGTGCCGGTATCTGGATGCTGACTTGGGGCTGAGGGCAACCTGCAGAACAATCCCTTGCCCTGGGACTCCCCAAGAGCCATGACTGCCAGTGGTGAAGTAAGGCACATTTTTCCCAACTTAAGGRCTCAGCTGGAAGGGAAGCTTGGAAAATGAATTCACTCCTTCTTCTCCCTGTGTCCAGAAAAATTAACCTTGGGAGGACTTTTATTGYAGGCTTCAATATGGCTGTAGGGGTTTTGAACACCCAATGCTTGGAAGGCTGAGGCCAAGCCTATGTTGAGCTGTAATTCAACGTGAACTTGGCCATTGGGTTTGTACCAGCTGATGATTTCATTGTGCTTTGTGTGTGTGCTCCTGTATAAAGCAGCTCTTCATGAGTCCCACCTGGACCTGAATCACTCACAGCAAGGGCAGGTCCTTGATTTCAGTGGGCTTTTCTCCMTCTTTGGCTGTACTCATCTGCTGGTTGTTCGTCTCATCTGCCACCCAATGCCACACAATGCGGAGCAGCCTGCTTTGGAGCAGAGATGAGACCTGCTGGCAGAGAGGAGGCTGAAACCGTGTTGTGTTTGGGAGAATGAAGGGGTGCCTTTCCAAAATCCAGGCTTCAAAGGAGCACATGGTTGGGTGTGGGGTATTAGGAGAGGTGACAATTGTCCACCAAGATCTGGTGTTGGTGTCACTAACACTGAGTGGATCTCAGTAGTTGTTGAGACCTCTCTTGGTCCTGTGCATTGTGCTGGGTTTGACTGCTTTTGTACAAGTCCATATTGTGGGGTGTCACATGCTGCTCTGTCAAGCTCAGCTGAGTTCAGGTCTTTGACACCACTGTGTGCCAGGCAGAATTGGCATTGCTGCCTACCAGACCTCAAGGATTGTGACATACAAGTGGGATGCAGCAGTGACTTAGGATTTTGGTTGCTCCTTCAATGTGAGTGAGATCTGTGCAGCCCGACAGGGCTGTAGGAGATCCTCTATCATCCCCTCCCCAAAGCACTCTGGTGATGGGAGCATTGTTACATCAACCAAAGCTACACTGGAAGCCCAGCTGCTTTTTCACCATCCATCTCTGACATTTCTCTCCCTTCCCCAGCTGCCATGATCCAGCAGTCCCAGGGATCTCATCTGTCCTTAGACACATGCCTATCATCACCACTGCTTTTTCTGAGTCTCCAGCTGTCCCTGCCTCCCATAGCACCCTCAGCAGATGATGGCGCATAGCAGTGTTTTCCAAAGCTGTCCTGGGTCATCTTTCCCCTCCCATCACCTTAATCCCTGCACTTATAGCTCTGTTGGCCTCCCATGCACCCCATAACTTTGGGGGAGGTTGAGACTCTGTGTGCGTGTACYTGTGTCTTATGTATTAGCATCTGCTGGCCTCTTTGTATTCACACCAAGCAATGTAACATGAAAAAACCTATGTCCAAGTGAAATACTCCAATTAAAAAGCATCAAGTGGCTTGTGGGAGGCTGTTCTGCACTGTGCAGTTGTGGTGACATCTCCWGGGGGAAGGGTGGGCTCAGGGCTCCTGGGTTCTGGTGACCTTCCACAGTGCAACTCCTCGTGAGAGTATCCAACAATGGGGAGCAAACCATTATTGTACCTGGACTGGAAATTAATAGAAATATTTTCTTTTGGGGTAAAAACACCTGAAGTCTGGGAGTCTCCATTGCTTGTCCTCHAAGACAAGGGCTGAATCTTCCAGTCAGTTTTGATCTGAATCACTAGATGTAGGAATTTTTGGGTGAAATGCTTGTGTTACAAGGTTGTCAGACCCCACTACCTGTGAAGCAACAAAATTAGTAGCAGAGATGTGACAGAGTGTAAAGCATTAAAGGAGACCACAGGTCTAATGGGCCTTGCTCTGCTAGGCAAGGCTTTGAGGATGAGGAGGGTGAGTATATGGAGTTACCAGTGCTTATTGGCCAAGCAGCAGCTAGATCCATGGACCAAAGAGCGTTGAGGTGGCTTTTCCCAGCGCATGCTARTGGCACCAGTTGGGGGACCACAGCCAAGCCCCTCACTTGAACACCAAGGGACAGGTTGGGGAGCCCCTGGTGCACACCACACTCAACCCACACACTCCCCACCTCCTGCTTTTGCTGCTTACACACCTCCACGAGTGGTACYCATGAAAAGTTACGAACCAGCTATATATGGCAAGGCATGGGGAGGGGAACCTAACACATCCACTTCCCATATTTCACAGATCTGGAGCTGCTCTACAACAATTCATCAGCCCTTTAGCCTTTTTCCAAAGGAGGATGCTTCCTTTTTTGCACTTATAGCCTCCAAAATACTTAACAATTTCAACTTGGAAAAGTTTGGATGCTACTCAGCACAGATAACTCTGAAACCTAATGTTTCCCTCTCACTTGTGATCACTTCATTTGACAAAAGGTTCATGTATGAGAAAATKTCTATAGTCTGGATCAGGTAAAGACTACTGTCTTCTTTCCCAGTTTGCTGAAATAAGAACAAAACAGGATAGGAGAGATAAAATGTATTTAAAACATCACTTGAAATTTACAAAACACRTATTATCTATTCAAGTAGAAAGATATGGCTTAAACCTGAGAGATGTTTACATCTCCCTTACAGAGCATAGGCCCCCTCCCCATTGTGTGCCAGCAGCCACTGGGAGAAATGAAGGCTGGAATAAATTCCAGGCTGTAATACAGGTATACAGACCTTCCCAAGGGAAAAGCAAACAGGACACTTGGTGGGACCAATTCACACAACTYCATCCTTCTGCAGGGAAATGGTCTGTTACTGGTCATAGTCCCAGTAGCTACATGGCCAAGAMACTAAAAAGTCCTTCAGCCCTGATGTGAATGACATGCCCTCACCCACAGACAAGGGGAGAAGACTGTCCTGTTAGAGTCTATGGCAGGGCAAGAGTGGGGAAAAGGAAAACCAAAATTGCCCCCACTTCAGTTATAGAAAGGTACCGATTGTAACGACCCTGCCAGCAGCACCTGACCATGGTGATGGGGATAGTGTGCTTTTGAGGATGGGGGACACCTGCAAGGAGGGAGGAAGGGAGGTAGTGTGTGGAGAAGAGGCTTGTCTGATAGGAGCAATCTGTGCACCTGAGAATGAGGAGAACTGGAGGATGCTCAGATGTTTGCAGCATGTGTGGAAAGGGCTTTAGCACAGGAGTGATTGCCCTGTGGGATGCCAGTGGTCCCAGGGGTAAATGGTGGCTCCCATGTGGTTGCTGCATCTCACCACAGTGCACAGTTTCTTCATGGCTGCAACTCCGTCTGTGCTCTCCTGCACTCCAAGAAGCCCTGCTAGGCATGGGAATGCGAGGAAAGCTGTAGGAGAGGAAGGTTGGTATTCATCTCCAGCAGGGCCACGAAGGCAAATGGCTCCTCCTCACCAGGTAGATCTGAGCGCCCCTGGCTGGGCTCTCCAGCCTCATCAAGATGGCAGGTCCATGTCACCTCTGCCTGTGTCAGGCCAGGACGGCAGGCATGYTGCTGAGCTCTGGAAAAGGAGACACACAGTGAGCTACCAAAACATCTGCATCTGCTCTGACAGCCTGTGAGCAAAGAGAACATGCTTGCAAATGTGTGCAGCCCAGCCTGGGTCATTTTGCCTGGATGACAGATAGCTCCATGGGTGAAGRAACGTGGTGCATGGGAGGGTCCTCAGCCAATCCCACCCTGCCTGCCAAAACCAAGAGTGCTCTGTGCCTTCAGGGTCTCTTTTCACAGCAATGCAGAGTAGTGAGCATTGGAGAAGACATCTGGGAGTGTCTGCCCCAACCTCTGCTTGAAGCAGGGCCAGTTACATTGAGCTGCTCAGGGGTTTGAAGCTGAGATAACCCAGGCTGCATCCTTCCTCCCACTGTGGACACCCATCACCAACCCATCCTACAGAAGCCACCTGAGCAGGATGCAGCTCCTCTCCTTGCCCTGCTTACCTGTCTTGGATTTGTTGTTGCCATTCTCCAGCTCTGGGTTACTGTCCTGGGCACAGCAGGAGAAATTCTTCTCTCGCCACCTGCATGGGGCAAAGCACCTGGGTCAGATCACTGCTCACTTTGGTTTTCCTCACAGCTCCCTGCTGCCTTGGACACCTTTTTCCTACTTTGTGAGTGCAGGTATTTTGGGATTTTCTCAAGTCCTAACCAAGAAAGGACTTGAGAGCATGACTGATGTCTAAGCATCCACACTTTGTGTGTGCAACTGCTTTCTTGAAGGCAACTTTGTGGCTAAGCCCTGTTTTCTAAGCAAGATTTAAGAGCTCTAAAGCTCCAGGAATGTTTACAGTCACTGATACTTAAGCCACCAGGGAAATTTAAAAATTTTGATTTTGGTGTGTTCATAAACCTGACAAAGACAACCATACAGGGCACTGAGGCATTGACATATTCAGACATTTTTGTGTGGGAGGATGGATTTCCTGTGGGACTCTGGCATGTGCAGAGAGACATGGGATGCTCAAATATTAACACTGAGAGCTTTCCTAACAGMTCAATCCAATGAAACATTGTCAAATAACAATAATAGAAAAATCAGTTCCTTTCTCACCCAATTTGATAATTGKTTTATGTTGCTACTATAAATCTACCAGTTCTCCACTGAATTCTGAGGGAAGACAATGCCTGAGCTGCCAAAATGGAAAGGGACAATGAGAGCAAGCAGGAGAAACAGAGAGTTTTGTGGGGACTTTTGGGGCTTTCTTCCATTTCCAGAAGGGAAAGCTAATGTTCTTAAGTGTAGTTTTAACTATTCAGGTCACCTGAAAGCATCCCTCCTTCCCTCTGCCTGGAGCAAAAGATCAGGTTAAGACAGACATTAACAACTCGGTAGTTACCAGTGCAGAGCAAAGATGAGTGAGATGAGGAGCGCAGAGGTCAGGTCTGTCAGGACCCACATGACGCTGTACTGCTGCGGAGTCTGGAAGTAAACAACAGAGGTTGTGTTCACCACCAAGGACCACAAGATTGGCAAAAAAAGTTACTCAAGCTCTTTCCCCCTGATTGAATGTGACTGTTCAGCTGCCTTGTTTGCATCTGCAGTAACATCCCTCGGGTGTTTAAAGCATTTGGTGGCATTTCAAAGTGACCACTCACCACTGGTGTTTGTGCCAAATCATTCTCCTTCATTAAAAAAAAGGTCTGTTGTGTAACCAAAAAGATTTTACGGTATCTCAGTGAATGCCACAGAGACCTCTCATTTTTTTACAGGAAGGCTTTGCACTTCTCTGCTTCACGCCAACAATAACATCAACTGGTGGCATCTCATTTTTTCTGGCAAAACTACCTTTTACTGGACACCACAGAGAGTCTGGCATGGCTCCTGCTTTGAGTCTAAGAACATCTGAAGATTCATCCTTACACTGGACCTCCACCCAAACTTAGAATGARACACTGCAGTTCTCTGGAGGGGAGCATTATAAAATTAATTCAAGAGTGTGAAACCAACTTTTTAAAGTCCTTAAAGAAACTGGTGAGACTAATTCCCCAGGTGCTTCTTGGTCCTACAGGTTGTCCAAGGCAGAATAACAAGTAGAGAAATTATGTGAAAATTCCTCCCAGAAGTAAGGGTTATTTCTCTGGTTGTTTCTTTTGGGCCTCTGGAACAAGACCCAAGTTTGACAAGGGCAGTGGGACGTTCTGAGAAATGAGAAACTTCTGACGTTGGTATGGTCAAAAGCTTAGAAATTGAAATCCTTATGCATCAGCTTCTGCCCTCAAAGGCCCTTGCTTTCCTCCTACACAAGTCTCWATATGACTTCTTTTCCCTCATCCCAAGGCCTGTTATGCAAATCCTAAGAAGTTGGGTTCTTCCTGAGCCAGGAGAAAAGAGAAGAGTATGGTAATATCGGTAGTGGCTTAGAGGTTCCAAGTAAGCCATTTTTCAACTCAGGTCCTTTTTATGCAAAGGATCCTTAAAGGATGCTTTATCCATGTGTTAACTGACCCATGGTCTCCAAAGGTAATCAAGGACATCCCAACTCTACTTCCCACCCCTGAGACACAGAAGACTCACTTACCATGAGGAASAGTGGCCGTTTGATATCCTTCAGCAAGTGGACAGCATTGGTGGTCACAGAATGTGCCCCAGAGCACCATGCCAGGGAGTAGAGCCATGGCTCATTGACCACATAGAAGTTGCTGGTGATGTTTGCCTCAGCATATTTCCTTTAAAAGACCAAAAGGCAACAACCTTCATTGAGCAAGGAGATTAGTACTTCCTTCGGGCTTACTCAAGGAGATTCGGGAAGATCATGGGAAATGGTTGCAATCTTCTGTAGGAAGTGCTTACTTTAGGACCTAGATAAGGAACATAAAGGAAAGCCAACCAGCCAATAATTAATCATTAACAATAGGTCAATATAGAATAGTTGAACAGCTGGAAACAAATGCAGATAAAATGCCCAAAAGGTCAAAATCTTTCTAATCCTTCTGCCATATGAATCAATATAATGATGTGTTTGTAAAGGAGGCTGTAGCCAGGTGGGGGTCAGTCTCTTCTTTCAAGTAACAAGCAATAGAACAAGAAGAAATGGCTTCACCAGGGAAGCTTTGGATTGGATATTAGGAAAAATTTCTTAATGAAAAGGGTTATCAAGCTTTGGAATGGGCTGTGCAGGGAAGTGCTCAAATCATCATCTCTGAAGGCATTTAAAACATGTGGATGTGGCACYTGGGGACATGGTTTAGTGGTGGGTTTGGCAGCGCTGGGATAATGTTTGGCCTTGATGATCTTAGAGATCTTTTAAATCRAAACCATTYSTGTTATTCTATAATTTCMCCACAGTGTGTTCAAAACCAYCACAGAATCACKGAATAGCCTGAGTTGGAAGGGACCTAGAAGGYCACAGAATCCARCTCTTCAGTTAATGGYTCATGTGGGSATTGARCTCACAAYRTTGKTGTTGGTTRGAGCACCATGSTCTGACCAAYCAAGCTAATCTCAAAGCTTGTCCYAAGTTTGGTGTGGTTGCTCCATCAATTCATCATTTCTCAAGTCATTAAAAGCTATTAAAACTTTATATGAATTAAGTTCATTCTTTGTGCAATGGTAACGTAACATCAGTATCAGCATTTATAAATCTACCTAGGATCTATGATCTATCCAAGGTTTACTCAAATGGATCTGCCCATCATTTTTTATAGCCTTTCAGCCTGGAGAAAAGAAGACTCTGAGGAGACCTTAGGGCACCTTACAATACTGAGAAGGGCTACAAGAGAACTGGAGAGGGACTTTTTAGAAGGACACTGAGTGACAGGACAAGGGGGAACAGCCTTAAACTGGAGGACAGAAGGCTTAGATCAGACATTAGGAAAAAATTCTTGACTGTGAGGTGGATGGAGACCCTGGTACAGGTTGCCCAGAGAGGGTGTGGACTCCCCAGCCCTGGAGGTGTTCAAGGCCAGGCTATGGGGCTCTGAGTAATCTGCTCTAGTGGAAGCTTCCCTGCCCATAGCAGGTTGGAACTAGATGTTTGAAAGTCCCTTACAACCCAAACCATTCTGTGATTCTATGATTGTATGATTTGACAACCTGTGACAATTCTACTTGAGAAAACATGAGCATTACTCTCATTCAAAGGATTAATTTTTTTTTTTCCTTTCTTCTTCATTTGAACTGGATTTCAATGGTTTCGTGCATTAGGAAGAGCAAAAACTCTATTTACAGAAGGACAGTTGGACAGGTAAAGCTGGAGGACGTTTAGTGGTTGTTGGGTGATTTTTCCATGTGAGAGTAGCATTTTGGAAACTCCTGCAATGAATGTGRAGCCTTTCATCATAGAAATTAAATTTTCAATGTGTCACATGCAACAGAGTACTGGCAGTAACAGAAACAAGAAATTATGTCTCCAAAACACCAGCTACAAGAGAGTGATGRTCTCACCACAGCATTATGCACTCACACTGATATTTGTGGAGAAGACATGGAAGGTTAAATAGTTGTTCATTCTCCATCATTTGGTGTTGGTGGGACTGAGGATGGCATGAACAGATGCTGGTCAATATGGAATTGAGGASAGCAGGGTTTAATTACATGTACCACCTCTTAGTCAACAGTAGTGCAGTTTCTCACCTCTAAAATACATTAGGGAGGGCTACTTGATCTGAAGGACCTATTCTGAAAATATTACAGTCTCTGGGACTGGTCATTGGAGGGAGATGTTGCCCCACACATGAAGCAAGGATAGTCCAGATGCACCCCTGAAATTGTGGAGCTGAAACCTACTGGATATCTTCAGTGGACATGTCAGTGTAGACCAGATTGAGTTTGACAATCTTGTGCTTTAACAACTCTTCTATGGGTGCCTTTCTGCCCATCACGTGCTGAAACCCAGGAGCRACAGCTTGAACAAAGGACCTCACGCTGTGATGCAGCCACAAGACCTGCAGAAGACAGGGGGAAACCAGTGAATTTTCAATACAAGAATTCATGCCCCTCATACGCCCCACTGTTCACTCAAACCCAGTAAAGACAACATCCTGAGGGACTTAATCCAGCCTGTCAAATGATGTTTCTCCCAATGATCAAAGATCATTCCGATGCAGGGTTAGTACTTGCAAGCCACTTTTATCAAGCAGTATCCACTGTTCCTTGCTTATCAAGTGGAAATTGGTGAGCGTGTTTCACACAGCCCAAAAAAGAATGCAGTGTTGAAAACGAATAAAAAGACAGCTTTGGTTTATGGAAAAGGGAACCGAAAATATTCGGTTCTACCATTCTTCCAGCATGGAAGGAAAGATCTTCAGCAGATACAGATTGGCATAACTCCCCAGACATCAGTGGGTACATAACCTGATTCCCATGAGTTTAACATCCACCCATTGCCAGGGGGAGGAAGGCAGTGAAGACTCACAGTTTGTTTCAATTTAAGCCAGGAATTTTTATGCAATATATAACAAGCATGGGTAGCAGAGAATAGTCTGAAAATTATTACAGTTATGAAAGGGTGCTGTTTAGGAGCTAAGGCATCAGCTGATATATACAGTGCCTTTTTTCCTGTGCTGCTGAAGGGTTAAACCCTTGTGTACCTTCTGAGGAACTAATAGTAGCAAAATGCTCCAAATGATGCCTTTTAAATCAAGTGAAATGCAAGAGGCCAATTTTATACAGGTGAAATCATGCAGAGTATGGACCCCAAAGTCCCAATTAGGAGAGCAAGAAAAAGGGATATGGACTGAGGCCACCCTACCAGATGGCGTTTAATCTTCGACTCCTTSAGAATGACGTCCAGGACTCTGCGGAGCCACGAGTTCCTGTGAGGATGTTTCGCTCGAGGGCGGTAGAGATCAAATATCACAAGTTTATTGTGACTGTCTGCAAGGCGCAAAAAACTGCGTAGCGTGTAAATGGACTGATTCTTTGCCTGGTTTTGATCTGCCTTTGACAGTGAGCCCATCCCTACAAATGGTTTGTTCTAGAAATAAACAGATATAAAAAAAGCAAATCAATCAGTTTGCTCTGGGAGTCAGCTACGTTTCTAAGAGAGAAAAAGTTTGATGTCAGTACTCAGCAGGTGGTGAGGATATTTTATTTTGCTTATTTCTTCTACATAAGAAATGGGGGAAGTTAACCCATGCTATGAGGACATTGCTTCTGGGCTCTAAATTGCACAGTTCACAGCTAGTTCTGCTGTGCTTCTCTGTCCCACCTTGTTAGCTCTGAACWTTATAAACATCACATTGCACAAGTGGCTCTTGGCTTCTTACCCCAGCCCATGAGCTCTGCTGCTGCAATGATAAGGAGACTCGAGAACACCCATCAGCCAATTGTTACAGGTCTCCTTAGCCTGAAGACAAACTGGACAATGTAAAGAGACCCAAACAGAAGGATTTACGCTGCCTTCTTTGAGTTTTGGCTCAATTACCAATTCCTCTTCTAATACTGATGCTGCTAAATAATAGGCAGCTTGTGTCTCTTCTATACCCAGTTGGTAACAGTCATGAAATCATAGAAAAGTTTGGTTTGGAAGAGACTTTTAAAGCTCATTTAGTCCAACCCCCCTGCAATGAACAGAGATGTGTCCAACTAGATCAGGTGTCCTGGAGTCCAATCCAACCTGATCTTGAATTCTTCTAGCTGTTTATGACACTTACCTTCAGGAACCATTTTCCAGCATTCAGTTTCTGCAGGGCAGCCCAGGAGAAAAAGGCAGCATCTTTATCAACRTCATTAGGGTAGACCTCTTGGATGTTAGTTGTCCTTCTCAAGGTGTCGTCATGCATGAGGAAAGGAATCCCATCATAGCTGTCAGAGAGCAAGAGTTGAGGTCACGTGGGGTGCAGGTTCATTCACAGTATGAGCAGACTCATTCCAGRTCAGAAGAAAATGTGGGCCACCATGAGTGCAGCAGTACAGCCTCCCTCAGTGCAAATAGTGTAATATGGAGGAATGTGAGGCTCAAGACACCAAGTTATTTCCAACTTAAATAATTCTAGGAGATCTCAGACAAGTCATGCTTGTCTGTGCCTCAGTTTCCCTAGGGGCAATGTGAAGGAGATGACCTTTTTGCCTGCCAACTCCCCCAAAAATGGAGAGTAATTTATGGTTGAAATCTTTTTTTGCTGAAATCAAAGTGTTTCTATGGTTTTCAGAGGACTGAAATCTCAATAGACTGTGATGGAAATGCAAAATTTCCTCTTATAGAAAGGTCTAGTTTAGTAGAACATCTAAGTTTTAGTGTTTTTCTTGTTCAGTGCCTGGAACTGCTCACCCTGCACAGAATGTTAGCAGTTCATGGCAATGGGTTCACCAAAAAAAGGCAATTAAAGATCTAATAATTAGGGCAATGCTGTCACAAATCTGAACACAATTTTTTGTTGGTTTGTAGACCTGATATGACCCTCACTGTGACCTGGAACTCAGACTAGAATAGGAATAGGAATTTGTCTATATACTCTGCCATGCATTTAGAATACACTGCAGAAATAATGATTGTTAAATCAATAGCTGCAGCTTATTGACTTGCCTGAGAACAACCATGCCCTAGAGCCCCCATCATCACATGGCAACTGAGGGACCCTGTCCCAGCCATCAGTAAAACCTAACTGCCTGGAGCTGTATGTCTCCAAAGACAACTCTTAGAAGAAGCAGCATATATTCTGTTGGATGCAATGTTTTGCCCTCACCTAATGGTGACATCTGTTTCAAGACCATCCCCACCATGCTCAATTGCCTTCAGAAATGACATCTCAGTGTTTTCTGGTGCCAGCTGAAAAAAAAAAAAAAGAAAGCACGTGAGCAGATAATTTTCAAACACACTCTGGAGAACCCTGTAAATACTTTCTGCCTCATTGWAAAATCTCTGTTTTTTATTGAGAGAGCACCATTGTTAAAGTCTACTGTTTGTTTTCTTCCAATTTAGCCAAACCCATCTTGCAGAAGAATAACAGAGTCATAGAATGATTTGTGTTGGAAGRGACCTTGAAGATCACCCCGTTCCAGTCCCCYTGCCATGGGCAGAGACATCTTTCACTCGTTCAGGTTGCTCAGGACCCCCTCCAACCTGGTCTTGTCCCTCAGGAACAGTGTTTTCCTTGTAGGCAAATCCATGCAGTGATGCCTTTGGCATGCAGTCCCAATGACCAGAAATGTCTCTCACCCTCCACAGATTTCATAGGGGGAAAAAAAACCCACAGATGATGATGAAAATTCCAAGACACAGGATGAAGAAATGACATAAAATAACTTCTTCAGACCTACCATTGGTGCTCCACGGTGTCCAATGAGGGCTGGCTTTGGTCCAAGTGTTCCCCTCTCTCTGATGCAAGGAGAGTACATCCCCAGAGGTATCAAGAAAAGAAAGAGAAGGATAGCCAGGTATGGACCAACAATTATCACCTGAATAACTGAAAGAATTTGAAGGAGGAAGGCTGCAGTTAATCCACATCATRACATACAAGTTTGCCTTGCCRCTTAACTTATAATATGGTCCTCCAGCTAGGCAGCTTTAAGCCTTTGTCCCATCTTTTTCTATCCCTTCTTCCCCTAATTTTCACTTTCTCTCCAAACAATGCAACCCAGGAAAACAAATGGTCAAAGCAAGGATGCAGGCTAAGTCAGGACTGCAGGTTTTATGCTATAATTAAATCTCACTGTGCCTTACAGCAAGACATGGGCCTTATTTCTTTTTCTTCAGACATGGTGCAATGAAATCYCCTCCATCTGTAGAAAAGCAATCCTCCACAGAAGGGTGCTAATTTTTTCTTACTCAGATAACAACAAGCACCATTTTGAAGTTTCATTCACAATGAAAAAGAMTAGGAACCTCTCTCCCTAAACTATGTTACATCTCTTTACTGTTAGTACTTCCCTGGTTCATTCAGAATGTTGTTAATGACCTTCTGTGTGTGACGTAGAGAATCCTACAGACACTCAGCACATGGATATTGCATGTCAAACTTCCCAGCTCATTACCTACAGTCTTCTCTGGAGTCTGTTGACACATTGCCCAAGAGCCCCAAAGGTCCTTCAACTCAGGGACCAAAGTAGTTCTGAGAAATGAGCACTTGTGCACCAACACCTCCTTCTTGAATGGGTACCACCATCCCTCTGCACATTGTGCCCATGGCTCTGAAAGAATTTGGACTTACACTAAGATGATGATGGGCTAAGGTAGGAATACCTCAAGCATGGTAGTATATAATGCCTAGGATATTTTCCTCCAACCTCCCCAGCTGCAGTTCGGTAAGAAAAAACTTGGACAGGAAAAAAAAAAATATTTCCATCAGTCCATTCTGTCTGTGTTTTTTATTGCAAACCAATATCTGAAGAYTGGTGTCAGGTAGGTAATTTTTGCTATATGGAGAGACAATCAGAGWAAAACAGCAACTCCCAGTCAGGCTTTTCTGCAGTTGCTCCTGGCATCAGGCTTTGTCCTTTAAACATTTGGTTATACTTCCTAGAGGTGGGCAGGAACTTCCCATGAGATAACACTAGGAACTGAGCAAAAAGCTCTTTCCCCTGTCTCAGCTGGCTTTTCCTGAGATACACTAGTCTGAAGGTTTGTCTGACTGGACTGGAGATCCCTTCTGTATAAAGCAAGTAAAAATCAGCCAAGGGARCTGCCACTGGCTGCTTTCTCCTGCAGAGGGCTAAATAAATTTTCACTCATGACTCAGAACATGRGTGCTTCTGCTAATCTCCTCCATCTCAAGGCAGATCACTGCCTCACAATAGGGCAAAACAGTGCAAGGGGGCAGGGGCATGCCAACCAGTAACACACCAGTACAAGACAATGCACAGCTCAAGCCCCAATCCCACTAATTTCCCTGGGATATGCAGAATTTAAAAGWCTCCGCCAGCTGGAGTGCAGATGTGGGAGGAAAAGGCTCCTGCATGCCTCTTTTCCCATGCTGCTATACATCTTTTGTCATACAAGGAGCAGGAACCAGAGCTGCCATACCTTTCTTGTCTGCTCTGATGGCATGAAGAGCCACAGGCCAGGACAGAAGGACCATGATGATAATTGCCCCTAARTGGAGATAAGGAGCTGTGACCTGGCAAGGAGGAAAAAGGATTTTAGTCAAAGGATGAACTGACGGAAACAATCCCCATTTTAGTCAAAGGAGACAGACAGAAGCAATCCCCATCAGAGCTACAGCCCTTACACCTGGATGGGCTCCTGCCACAAAAAAACAGGAATTAACCACTCTTCCTCACTTGCGTTGGATCCACCATACACCTCCGGACTCTGAGGACAGACATGTGCCCTAGCCTGAGGAGTGCTCCTCACTTCTTAACTTTATCCTATCAGCTGAAGGGGACACAACTACCCTCCTCCATGAGGACATTATTGCCACTGCTGAGATGCCATAATCTGTGAGCGTCTTCCAGTTTAACCCAATACAAACCACTCCAGTCCAATCCCACCGAGGTGATAGCTATCTCCCCACCACACCACACTGCAGTTAAATCATTAAACTGATGCCAACAAACCTGAGTGATAAAATGTGGTATTTACTAGCTGTGGTGTGAAAGTAACTATTGTGGTATAAGAGAAGCAGATATATTCGATAATACTGCTGGACAGATACAGTCAATAGATTTGATTTCTGTAATACTAAAGATTAAACAAGAAGATCATAAGACAAGAATCACTTCTATGCTTATCACGAATGCACGAATAGAGTTGGAAGCAAACAGAAAACCAGACTGTGAATGGTTGTTGGTCTGACACATTTCTCCTAAAACTAGGCAAATCAGAGCAAGAAACCGGTCCATCATCTTCTCATGCTCATCAGAGCCCTGTGGCAAATATTCCAGTTAGAACTGAGTTATTAAGGTACGTGCTAGGAATAAACCCCAGCTATCCCGATGTAAGCCTTTCCTGATGCTCAGTTCTCTAAGCTGGAAGTGTTGAAGGAAGCAGCAGTCACTGGGAGATGTTATTGCATGTGATACTGCCTGCCCAGACACTTGATACCAACATCTCCCAACCAGAAGCAGGACTCAGCTGCACAAGCAGAGGTGCCATCTGAGATGTCCAGAATACCTGAGRTAGATCTGCAGGGCTAATGGACATRACAGTCCCTACAAGATCCATGTCCTTTAGGAACAACAATGACAGGGCATATCAATTGACCCCACCCTACAAACACCACATCTTCCATTCCAGCCATTTGCATTGCTCTCCCAGGCTCCACAAGCACTAAGCCATATGGGGGAGATAAAATAGACCCAAATAGAATCATAGAATTGTAGGGTGGTTTGGATCCTGTAAAGCAGCTGTGCAAAAGCTACATACTTCTTCCTTCTCAATACAAGGGGGGACCTGGATGCTCAGACACTGAATAACACCAGACAGCTCTTGCCTCCACCTTCAGATCTGGTGAGAGGTGAGGAGGCCAGCAACCATGAACACTGACCTCCTGCATCCAGCATTTTGTCCCACATGACACCAGCATTCTCCACTTACTCCCCAAAATTTCAGTACTCTCCTGTCCTCAGGAGATTAAGCTCTTCTGAGTCACAGAAGACTGAAATTGTGCTGTTCCAGCAGACTGGGATGAAGGAGAATGTTCTTGCTCCAGCAAACCTACCAGCCTAAGKGGTCTGATTTACCTGCCCTGGACAGCTGAAATTTAACAGTATACCTACATTTTTTKGGGAGGGAAAAAAAAGGGGCTGTAACTTTCTGCATCTTCCCAAACTAAGACATGTTACATCAAATAGCTTGAAACTCAACCTCAGGCTTTGGCTTCCTTTTCCCCAACAGGAAATGTTAAGTCATAATAAAAGTTTACTTTGAGCATAGCCTGTTAACAAAACACATGTGATAAACACCCACCATACAGAATATATTCTGCCAATTGTCACAAAACACTTCTACAAACAAGCTGCTCTTTCAAATAGACCTCCTAACCCCTCTTACCTGGAATGACAGGCGAAGAGTTTTCCGGTGATCTCGCCAGAGTATAGATAATGCGGAGAGGCATGAGAGACAGAAGACCAGGACGACAAAAGTACCAATCTGGGGACACAAGACATAAATCAGCTTCAGCATTTCTGCATAGGATATGCCATCCATATGAGGCTAACAGGCTCAATTAAGCAGCTTATAAATTGTTTAGGATGCATGAGATTGACTATGCCAGTTTAGAGACAGAGAGTTCCAATGGGACTAAAACCAAATCCACAGTGTTATCAGTATGGCAGGATTGATTTTAAGAATTCAGTACTCAAATAAGTCAGCCCTGAGAACTCTCTCTGTAATCACTGGAGAAAGGAATTTCAGAGATGATTCATTCCTGCTTGCATTATGATGGAATATGCCTCTCTGTTGATGCAGATGGAGCCTAGATGATTAGCTTACATTAAATCCMTAATCTGCAGAATGGAATTCATCACTTCTAAACTCAGAAGTGACAAATTCTACCCAAAAGGAACAGCAACACAACTTCCTTGTTGTATGAGTTGCTTTGTAACAGGCTTCAACAATAACAGAYCCTCCCATAATTAAAAAATGAACGAGAGCTCATTTTTTAACCAAAAAGGTGAGGAGGTATCTCAAACAGTTCTACAGCTTCTTGCTCAGTTTGGTACCAGCACTGTGGTGATGGCAGGCTCTCCTTGGTATAAGGCAACTGCTGACAACTAAAGGCAAGTAGCAATTGAACCAAGGCCCTTACTATTCTTCAGGGGATCTTCTATGTATCATCACCTTAATAATATATCCCTAATCCCTTGCACCCAAGAATGCCTCTTTTTTGTTATTACTCTTTTTTTTTTTCAAGTTTGTTTGGTTTAAGGTTTTTTTGGTTGGTTGGTCTGAGGTTTTTTGATTTTTTTTGTTTTGTTTTTTACAAATTGTTCTACAACTTTCTCATTCTTCTGGAACCCATTTTTCAATAGTAAAGATCACTCCATTTCCATTACTTAAATGAAGAAACACGGGATCAAGTCTCCACACGTTCAGCTTTTCCCTCCCACTGCAGGCTTTGCAAATGCATTGCAACCCTAAACTGCATGGCTAGAGGAACATTTTTAAATGCCTCTCATAGGCTCAAAAATTACTTAAAGAAGATGATTCTAATACATAATTTTGCATCAACAAGTGCCTGAGAATTTGTTTCTCTGTCTTCAAAACTCCAAGTGTAATTTCCCAAACCATGKAATAGAATTAAGAACTATAAGGCAGTTTGGGTTGAAAGGGACTTTAAAGACCATCTAGTTCCAGCCCCCCTGCCATGGGCAGGGAAGCCACACACACTCAGGGCTCCATCCAGCCTGGCCTTGAACATTCCCAGACAACCATCCAAAGACCAAAAGGCACAAAGCACCAGGATGCCTTAGAAAAGCCATCATTCTCTTTTGCTGAGAGAGCAGACACTTTTCCCCCTGCTGTTGGGGTCTGCTCCAGAAAATCACACAATACTTCTCATGAAAACTTTGCTTTTGACTTCATGCTACCAAATGTAGAAGTCAAATATAGACATCTTCACCTGAATGAGTCACTGTAGGCACCTCTTAGAGTCAGTGGGGAAAAAAGGTTCTTTTTTTGTGAGTGTGATTCATCTCATCTTAATTTAGATGCCTATGACCAGCTGGATGAATTGCATCCTCAGAGGATTCATTTTCCTCCGCTGAGTGCAAAGGGAGTTTGAGTGATCAGCTCAGGTGGAGATACATTTTTATGAGTATCTAAATCTCATAAGATTAACCTCTTCCCTCTGTTCCTTCTCWCCCATAGTCTAAGAGATTTTCTGTGCAAAGAAACACTAGAGACCCAATAAATTTAAAGCATAGATTAGAGTTACCAGAAAGCCCTGACTCTCCCCACCTTGTGACTCCAGTGCAGGTACAGCTGCTGACCTTCTGCAAGCAAACACACCGCAAGGACCTGGGAAATCAAGAAGAGATTGTAGGAATCCTGGTGGAAGGGGGTGGCGTGCGGYCAGTGAGGTGCTTTGGGAATTATTTTTGCATTGGGAAGTTACTTTACAYTGGGTCTTCCTGCACAATGAAAATGTCTGCAGGACAGGTGTATGGAGAGAAAAGTTCATTGCTACAGTGAAAATGCTTTTGAAATGGCCAGGCACTGTCAAGGYTGTCCTTCAGGATCAAAGACTTTTTCCTGGATAACAGATAATTGGGCACTTTGGGGTACTCACTTTCAACAACTTTTCTTTGTAAGAGAGACTCTGAAAGAGGAATGATGGCCAGGGTCAATTATTATTATATAAACCAATRCAGCATTGACTTTGAGTATTATCTATGCATTTGTTTTGATTTGAGGCATACCAACCCGGGGAGAGAAGTTAGGGAATAAAAAATGCCTCAGAGCAGCACAAAAGTATGGAGCAGACAGAAAAAAAGGCAATCCTTCCACATTAACCACAGGGAATGTAAGAGACAGGCACATCTCAGACCATAGAAAAGTGTCTGGGGCATTAAATGACTCCAGTTTTTGGTGGTTGGTACATTCTGTCCACCTGATGGCACATTGGAGCGGGTTCTTGTGAGGCATTCTGCAAACCCCAGCCAGGACAACCTGAGACACCTTGAGCACCAAGAAGCCAAGAATGAGGCAAGTCAGTCCATGCTTCCCATGCAGAGTTTCTTCACATAGTTCCACACCCAARCAACCAGTGAGTCTGGAGATAAATTTCACCAGAAGCAGCCCTTTGCTGCTGTGAAAATGCACAAATCTATGCTCAGGAGTCTGAATGCCCAGGGAAACTTCCCAACTGCTGCCAAGGATAATTTGGGTACCAGTATCACCAGGTATCCAGGCTTACAGAACAGTATCTGTTAGCAGACATCATGCTCCACTGAGGAGGATYGTTTATGATACAAGTCCCTCCAGACTGTAGCATAGTGGGATTGCATGGAAAACAGGACATACTGACTTGGGGGAAGAGGGTCTTCTCTCCTGAAACACAGCTGCAAATGAATGCAAATTGTTTCCTATCCATCTACAAACACACACTCTTTCCAGGATCATGCTGATTTGAAGCAAGATATAAGGCCAGGTTGGATAGGGCTTTGAGCAACATGGTCTAGTGGTAAGTGTTCCTGTCCATGACAGGGGGGTTGGAATGAGATAATCTTGGAAGTCCCTTTCAACACAAACCATTTTATGATTCTATTATTCTGTGATAAGCTCAGCAGTGAATACAAGTGCTTCTTGACATGTTGGCTTCCTTTAATGGAATCCTGCACCCAGTACTGGGTGGGGGCAGTTGAAAGAGAACTGAAATACTGCTAAAGATCTTAGGTCAGCCCCATTTAATTAAGCAATTTCAGGGTAAAAACATGAGAAAAAGGACACTGTTCCTTTTCTGCAAGTGATKTTACTCAAAGACCTGGTCCTTGCATACAGAAAAGGCAAATATTTAGAATATTTTGAGTCAGAAGGGGCCCTCAAAGATCATCAAAGTCCATCTTCTGTCCCTGCACAAAATCACACCAAGGATCACACCATGTTCCTGAGAGCATAGTCCAAATACTTCTTGAACTCAGGGCACTCGGGCAGATTTGGTCCTATGACTACYTCCCTGGGGATCCTGTTCCAGTGCCCAAAAATCCTCTGGGTTAAAAAACTTTTCGCAATTTTTAACCTAAATTGTTGGGATTCATGTTACAGTTTGGGAAAGGKTTGAGCTGCAGRTCATGTGACCAGGGAGCAGCYCSTGATTGACATGACCCTAYCTTGTGTGTCAAGCTGTGATTGGTTAAACAGARCCRTAGGCACCGCCTAACCCGAGGTGTGATTGGATAAGAAGGTTCGTGGGCAGTGGCTCTGTGGAGTGGATAATCAATCTGTGTCTAGCCTGGGAAAGTTTAGAATATAAAGAGGCACAGCTTTTTGAAAATTCCTTTGAACCAGCTAGAAGTTGTTCTCACATCATACTAAATCTCCACTGATAGAGTTTTACAATATTTCTTCATGTCTTCTCGCTGGTCTATCCACTCCAAACTGCTTCCACACACTTCCTGGGATTGTCTTAACACAAGTGCAGAGACGTGAGGGCTTAGATGACCAGTGTGTTTCTGGCTAACATTGCCAGGGTTAGAGTCAAGGTCCCTCTTGCCAATCCCATCATCTCTCAGAATCTTAGAGCCTCCAACACTTGCATTCTTCTCTTTAAAATGAGGTGTGGAAGTGTCTCCCCTCTACCATCTACCTGCAAATGGGTGATTAAGGGATGCTTCCCAGTGGCAAGAGAGATGGATACGCTGCAAGGAGGATTGCACATCTGTCTCCCTCTTTCTGAGTGGCTGCAAAAGGGTGGGCAGCAGAGGCTTAATTCCACTCTACTTCAGCATGGGAATGACCTTGTAATCATCTCAATACTTGTGGTGAGGTGTGGGCAGGCTCTGAACCTTCCACCACAAAGACATGCAGGTAGGCACTTAGACACTTGGTTCACCTGAAGCAACTGCTCTCTTAGATGTTCACAACAGCTGGATTCAGGTCCTTACGTTCACTTTGTGGCAAAAATGCAGCAGCACAGAACTTGTTCGGTACCCCATTTTTTTAGGGATGGAGTTTTGAGGTCATGTTTTGGATTTCAGTGTCAATGCACTATTTAGAGTCTTCTGCATTTATGAATGAAGAGGCCACAATGCATCTGAACTTCTTCACTTTGTACAGTCACAAGCCAGCTCTGCAAACAGTGGTGGAGGGKTGGATTCCTGGTCAAGACCTCCTCTGAAAGAGCTGTGCTGGGATGAGCATTGCCCAGCCATGGTTGTTACAATACTCTTCATGTTTTGGGATAGCGGGAGCATAAGCAGTGGCAGTGATAACTTTCCTCACTCCCTTTCCCTCAAGATCTAATCCCATTTAAGTCTCATGCCCCAGCACCCCTGCTCAGCATGGATGCATRCAGCAGTCTAGCCACATATGACACGGTTGGCTTGGTGATGCAGTCAAGCAGGACAAGTGTCCTCAGAAATGCCCAACAGCTTTGGTTGGGTCACTGAACAGCTTCACAAAAGCAAGAAGCAAATGGACCTTCACTRCAGAGGCTGTTCTGAGAGCAGAGGAACCTCTGAAGTATTTCTCATGCTGTCTGACATCATCCAGACTACTTGTCTTCTCTCAGATTTCTCCTTGCTCACCCTTCTGAGGAAGGCAAATGTTGTTAGCCTCATTAGACAGAACTGAGAGGCTTGAGAGGAAGAGGAGGATTTAGCTACATAATAAAGAGTGAGACCAGGACTGAACCAAACCATGTAGGACACAAATTGCATCTCATATCTTCCATCTTCYATCTTCCCTGTCTGGTTTCACTTTGCCCATCCATCGCCTGCCCTGAGAGCTTGCAGTCATCACATCGATGCTGACAGAAACCTGAAAATCCCTAAGAAAGTCCACTGGTTGGACACTGGCTGATGTTTGGATCCAGACAGAGTCTGACCAAGTTGACACATCAGCCCCAGGGATCTTTGGGCCCCTTAAGCCCAGGAAATCCTGTAAAGYCGGTTACTAGCATGGGCTGTGGTGAGTTAGTCTGATCCTGAGGTTGACTCCAGATCCACAGCCTGCTGAGACACCATCTCAGATATACCAATGTCACATGGGCATCTCTGGCAAAGCCCTGAGTTGCCCCAAGCAGCATCTTAACCAGCAAACTAYCCACACTGCTCCATGGCCCCTGGGAAAGCCAGGTAGGCTTTGCTGAATAATAGTCCATGAGCCCTAGAACCACATTGGTTTTAATTACAAAACACTTGTAATTAATTATTGTTGTTTGTCCCACTCAAAGCTCAGTCAGTCCACATCTCTGATGCTACTGTTGATCACTGTGGGCATGATCAAGCACCTGTCCTATTTATCACTTTGGGGTTTTTATTGCTAGCACTAGAATAAAAGTACTATTTATTTGTATTTTATCAGGGGGAAAAGGACCCCAGAAACCAGTTGTGCTAGGTACTGCATGGACAAAGCCAAAAGAGACTCCCTGCCATGACCAATTTACAGACTGACTGTATGATGACACATCAGGGAATGGGCAAGAACAGCAGGAATGGATGATAAAAGCTGGTTGTCTTGGTCACAGAGCTGAGATAAAGCCATGACTTCACCTTCGGCACCTGGCATTTCAAAATGGAAGTGAGAACAGGCATAGACTGATGTGCACTCCAGTGCCTTGAATTAAAGTGAATTCTCAGCCTATCATTCTRGATGCAGAAGGTGGAAACACAGGTGCTAATCTGCCTTTATTTGAGAGCTTTCTTATGAGGGAAAGAACAAAGAAAAAGAATGAGTAAGTAGAAATTTTAGGAAAAGTTTGGGTTTGGTATTTTTTCCATAACTAAAGCAGACATCAGATTAGAACTCCAGAAAAATTTCACAGGATTTGGAAAAGYGAAGATTTCAGGAACCTCTTTCAGYATAAACTTCAGCAGCATTTTGTGACCACATTTATAGTCTCTACCTGGAGAAAATCCTCCAGAAAATCCAGAGTGAGTCAAGTGAAAAAGTTCTGTTCTCCTTCTTCTAATAAACCTTTCTATCCAGGATTAGAAGAATAACTCAGCTGTGATGACGTATCATCACCTCTCCATGACTCAGAGCTGCCTATTTCCCTGCTGCCAAAGCAACAATTTTTAGTTCCCCCTAAATCTAAATCCAGCCACTGCTGGCTCAGCTTTCCTTGTGTTCAAGGAGGAATTGTACACATTTATCAAAGGGAAATCATCCAAAAAAATCACAGAAATTACATCTGGCTCAGAGACCCATGAACTTAAACCCGTCATTTGAAGGTGGATGTGGGGAGAAAGCACTGTAAACACTCATTGTGTTCCAGATCTTCTCCAGGCATTCACTGTCTAAGGATCATATGGAGGAGTAGATTGAGCTTTGGTCTGACACATTAAAGACACCTCTGATTACCTTTCGGGACAACAAATCAAGGTCAGCTCACAAGGAGCATTACTTACCAGTAACAATGAGCTGTATGCGAACAAGACTGAAGCCACAATCAGGATAAGAAGAGACCAKAGAAACCAGAAGCCCAGGTTCCCATAGTTATACCTAAAAATAAACCCATAAAATACTGTAAGAATGTTTTTGGTTAGCACGTGGACTAGAGGAGAYCAACAGCCCTGTTCATTTAAATTCTGAAATTTTCTAAGCAATAAAACAAAGAAAGGCACGGGGAAAGCCTACRCTGTAACATGCAAAAGTGATTAAGRGACTCCTTTCCAAAATCCSTGATTGCATTAACCATCAAACTAATACACATTACTATATCTTCCCTTCTCATAATATTTAAACAGCTTTAATTTAATTTTAGGGGCCAGATTTGCGTAACTATTGCCTACATACTGCAGAAGGAAAAGATGTGCATAAATCCCTGACRATTATTTCTTACTTTTGAATCTGGGAACATGAAATTCTCTTTCAGTGAGACAGCTAGTGSAATGCCTCTGATTCCAGCCACTACATTTCTTCAGGTGGAATGGGGGARAGAGAAGAGGGGGGAAAAAAAGACTCGGAGAAGGAAAGAGTTATTTAGTCCCCTTCATTCACAGTTTTTGTGACGATGATTCTCCCCTTTCTCCTAAATTCACACTTTTGCCTAAAAATTGTAGCCAAGCAAAGGGCAGAGCCTCAGCACCCCCACAGTCACTGGACATTCAATTTGGATGCTGTAACCAAGAGTTTAAGATGCCAAATTTTTGCTTCATGACCAAAGTGCCCTGTTGCAGCACAGCTGCTCCAGAGGGTGCCCATTCCTCCTGCTGACCTGCCCAAGGTGTGGGAGAGGARGAAAAGATGATACTCACCAGTCAAAGCCATTGTAGTCATTTTTACCTTCACTCCACGTGTACAGAAAGACCAGAGAAACGCAGAAAGCTGCAATGAGCAATGGGAAAAATATGCATTCCCGCTGGAGAGGGAGAGGAAGGACAAGCAGTCAGAGCTATAGCCAATCTAGAGCAATCAAAGCAAATGGCAGGTACTTTTAGGCTGTCCCTAARAATATGTATATTGGTGTTGGAATCCTAACTTAAACAAATATAGAGAGGAATTCAATTCCTGTCCCTTGTAACCAGGAGAATGTCYTCAAAAGTATACTCTGCACTACCTGTTTCCAGGGAAAAGAAAACTCGTGACTTCCCAAATGAACAGGATTTTAACTGCCTCACATGAGAGGAAATTGCATTTTACAGCAACCTTCTTTGCAATTCTTACTTCACACCCARCACTAATGTTACTCCTTCAACTTGATTCTATGGCTTTGAGAAGTTTCACTGGCCAGGAGAGGCTGGTGCAAAGTCCACATTTTTTAGCCGTGTGGCGGTACAGACAAACTGATCTTGCCAAAGAAACACAGCAACTCACCAAGCACTTTGAGAAAAAYCTAACAGCCCAACAGATCCCAGCAGGCTCCAAATGACACTGGGCTGGGATTCCATGACATCAACCCCATGTCTGCTTAGACTGCCCTGCCCCAGAACAGAAATCCAGGCCTGTGCTGATTTTGAGCTCATTTACCATGCTGCAGCAGCATTTTCCAGGCTGAGTCTTCTCGCGCTGGTACCGCCTCCAGCGGCAGCTGTACAAACCAGCCAGGCAGGAGATGAAGGGCTGGTGCTCGTACCTCTGCAGCAAGCGCCGGCGGACCACCTTCAGCTTCCCGAGATGGATCGTCTTGAGGGTGGGGGGTCCGGTCTCCTCCATCTGAGTGCTTTTAACTCATCTTCCTCCTGGAACAAGACCACAAGTTTAATGGGGACGCTGTTGTCCCCCCTTTCTTGTTGGGTAAGCTTTCCATAGCTGAAAAAGGAGAGGAAATTTTCCCAAAGAGGATGCTGAGACCAGCAGGAAGCCATGCTGAGGACACCCCACCTAATTTTATAAACCAAAGTGAGATGGCCAAAGTGAGAAGGATGGTCACTGCAAACCCTCTTAGCAGTCAGTGGTGCTCCTGCTTGTAAATTAGGTGYTCTGAAACACCTTTGAGGGTACCTCTGCCTCCTTTTGGTTATACAGGGAGTKCTAGGAAATGAATTCATTAACTTAAGCACATTCCAAATTATGTCATATGAACCTGAGCCTAGGCTTAGCTACAGGAATCATTCAACATCATTGTGACCWGTTTGAAACCTGCTATCAGTTTAACTAGCTCTTATAGAAAAGGCACTAAACCCCTCCAGGAACACAGCTCTCTTAACCTGGCAAAACTGCAGCACTGCAGAGACTGATCCCTTAAGAAATAATTTTATTTCCCAGCTGAAACAACTTCACCTGGCACAGATTTTCAAGGGTAGAAAGACCTGCTTCAAAGATGTGCATGTGGGAGACCTATTCATAATCATAATTTTAAACAATGAACTTGGTTGTAAMTTGCAATTTCTGTAGTTAGAGTGAAGTAAATAGCACAGGGACCTGTGCTAGTTGAAGAGTGGTTCACCCAGCAGGGCACTACCAAGACTTCAAGGAAAGATAGAGGAAAACAGTTTTGTGTGGGCATTCAAAGAAGCCCCATTATACAGTTCTTTACAGTTAAGTTAGTCAGAGGTGTTTTTCTGTTGCTTTGAAAAGTGAAATCACATCCTTGAGTCCATTCCATGTTCAAATCGTGGAACATCTGCTGCAAAGTACCAGCTTAGGACTCAAGGTTTCCCTGATTTTTCAGATGTAATAACAATAATTTAAGAGGAAGAATGAAGAGTTTGCTGCACTATACACATGGATGAAACACACATATGAAAGGTTTGTGTTTGGAAATAATTCAGATCCCAGTGTATCTTCTGAGAAATCAGTGCATAAATCCTTGCAGACTGACACATCCAAATAACTGACCGGTTTGAAGAAAGCACAAATAAATCAGAGACATCAGACTTAAGCTAAATCAGAAAAGATGCTCCCCTCATACAAATGCCCCAGCCTACTGGCAGTTGGAGTACAAGGAGAGAGGATGGAAAAGGAATAAAAAGGGGTTCAGTTTGGACTACTAATTATGCAGAGGTAAGAATACCATGCCCGGAATGCCTCCTGAGACAGATGTGTCTGTCCATCCAGGACAGCTGCAGGGAATCACACACACTTGGATAGGGTGGGGTCAAGCCACCCACAGAAGCTCAGCAGCACCAGACCCTGGCACTGGCAAGTCACCCTTAATAAAAAATTTATGCCAATCTCAAGTGGCAAGATGGTGATCCTGCTCTAGAATTCCCAGAGCACAGCTGGGGGGATGYGGCACAGATGACAGCTGATCCTGCTGGTTTCATCAGCTCTCCTAAAGTACACCTGGCATAAACCCAGCAACTACCAAGTTACAACAGCCACAGCTTCTGAATACATTTGAACCTTCAGAGCTCTTACCAGAACGTTGTCACATGCCATGGGATTGCACTATTTGTTACATCCTATAAGGATCCCCAAAACATGAGTTCCTGTATCACCAAAGCATAGCACCCATTCTTGCTCAGCCCTTCTCCTTCAGCAAAAGGAATTCAGGACACTGTACCAAACCATTAGTTTTGCTGTCAGAGGGCCATGAGATTTGTTATTCACATTCCTGGGTGTGGGTACAAGGCTCACACATCAGTATTTTTCTGTGAGCACAGAGGATTTGACAGGAAGATAGATTACAGAAACACTCCCCACATCATCTGTCTGGCTACAGCAGTATGTCAGGTGTTAAATCTAGGTGTGAGTTTACCCCTCATGAAATTGTCAGTGATGAAGATCCCACCATCTCTAGACAGGATGAACTAGTCCTAACTCTCTTTATAATTAAAAGTTGGAGGTTTTTTTCCCAGTGTCTTGTCTTCTGTTGCATTATCATGCCTTTTTAATCRTGGATATAGTGAACAGATTAAACTCTTCCTCTGTTGCGTATTTCATGTATTCACGTGTAGAAGTCTCCCCTTAAACCYTCTCTAGCCTCAACAATCCCAGCTTTCTAGTCTTTCCTTGTAGTTTATGTTTCCTTCCTTTATGTTTCCTCCGCCTCAGAGTATCCTTGTATGGAGAGCACAGTCAGCTGCTATTTGGCATTTCCCAAGGGTTTGRCACACGGTAGCCACAGTCTCTCCAGGACACACCTGTTCACCCACAGCACAGGCTACTCGATACATGCAGCATCCAGTTTCTCTCATGTATCAAACATCATCTGGCCTTCAGCTTCTGAATGCTTAAATAATTCACCCTGGACTCACCCCCAGCAGCAAGGGAAAGGTGTTTCCAGCTTTATCATACAATGACAGAATTGTTTGGACTGGAAGCAATTTTAAAGATYATTCCCCTAGACCAGGTTGCTCAGTGCCCCATCCAACCTGGCCTTGAACACTTCCAGGGATGTGGCATCTGAAACATCTCTGGGCAACATCAGAGCTTCATCTATGCATCAGAGTACTTATGGCACCATTATATTTAAAAATTTCATTACCTCCTGCCTCAGTCTTTCCAAAGAAATCAACTCTCCAAGCACAGGGGTTATTGGAAAAGGGACACTTCATTGCAGAGGAGGCTGGGGAAGGAGAGAGAAACAAATACAACTTCCTGTCCATAACCTGCTTCAGCAGCTTTTGGCTCTCCCAAAAACATCAGGCTGCCCAAAGAAGAGCAAAACACCTTCATCTCTGGAATCCTCTGAATTCCCATCGACCCTGTTGTCCARGCAGTATCAATACAGCAATAAGACCTTTCAGTATCAAGAGATTCAAAGAGCATAATTTGTCCCCTGCTTTGGGCTCTGACTTCTGCTGGCACCCATCTGTCCCTCTTTTCCTGCCCTGTCCCTTTTTTTTCTGCCTAGAGACTTTTTTTCTCTTCTCCCAGCCCCCAAGAGACAGAGCTACCTCACTGAGCTGCTCCTCTGAAGCCTACAAAGGGCCAAAGAATCCCACAAAGGTAATAAACCTGGACTGAAATTTTCTTATTGATGACAGCATAGAAATCTCTAGCATTTCTCTACTCAGGTAAATGGAGGTATAAATGGAGACACCTATAGCACCTAAAGGGGTTACTATTAAGCTGGAGAGGGACTTTGGACTAGGGCATGGGGTAACAAAAGAGGGAATGGATTCAGGCTGAAAGAAGGCAGGTTGAGATTAGACCTTAGGAAGAAATATCAGTGAGCTCTTGTTAAAACCAACCTGCCAATCCCCAGATCATGATTTGTTCCAAGGCTTCTGCTCCCTCTGGGCATAGAGGGCTCACCTATCAAACGGGAGCCTTTGAGCAGCTCTGCCCCACAGCATCAGGAACTGCTGGGTCTCTGCTGAGGAGTGAAGCACAAGGCGTGCTCGAGACATTAGACAAAAGGTGATGCTTGAGTGGAGGTGCAAAGGAAAGAACTGACAGGGAGTGGGAAGACCAAGGACAACTCACCAGATTTTAGTCTACATCACTCTTAAGTGACACCTAAGAAGAGCCCATCACCCTCTGCAGCTCTGCAAGAGTCATGTATTGCAATGCATTTACACCATGCTGTGCTGGTATAGCAAACAGTCCAGTGGCAACTCCGAGGGTTATTCCAGGAGAAATCCCTCTTAGATGTGCCAAGTCCTGTGTGAGAATGAGGAAGACAAAGGCAGACACAAGGGCAGTCAGAAGGGTGTTCTTAGCTCAAAATGTACTCGTACTTCCAGGCACTCCATTCTTCTCTTTATAGGTGTCCTTCCAAACAGGCATCACTCCTCCCCTTTTACCTCCATATATTCTCCCTGCCTTCTGCCCTCAGGTTCATCTCTGTGTTCTCAAGGATTGTGTTCCATTTAACACAAGCTCCCTCCTTACACCTCGGCCACCTTTCATCCATCCCATGGTCTCATCCTTCGTGGTTTCATCCTTGGTAACCATTTACCAGTCTGCTGCCACAGCTGGGACAAAGCAATTATAAGCCATAACAACACTGTAACTCCCAAGGTCAGTTGAATGTGCAGTGCCTCAGACCACATCAAACACTGACACATTTCAATTCACAAGCACCTGATCCTAAGAAAGATATCCCTGTAACTGGGCCCAACAACCACCTAAGRGGCAAACAACACCGAAACAAAGGGCAGATGCAGAAGCCAAAAAAMCAGTTCAGTCCTTGGCAAGACTTAGCAAGAGACTTCACAGAGCTTGCATCTAGATTTGAAGCATGGGTCTCTTAAAATTCAGAGATCGTCTGCAATTCTTGTCCATCTTTACCAGGCACAGTTAAATGGATAGAAAAGGGAAACAGCAAACTTGCATCCATTCACTGGGAAAGCCGTGGGAGCAAAGAGCAAGCAGGTAAACATGCACCAGTAGGATGCCAAAGTTTAGGACTCCTTAACGAGTGAGGCCTGAAAGCAGTAACATATGTTTTTCTGCTCCATAAACCCCAGGGATCTCAGGTTTTTCCATGGCAAACAGAGACTGTTTGCTMGCAGATAAGAATCCCCATAATCACAGGCAGTCAGACAGGGCTACTGCTTTCCCACTGCTTGGCAGAGGGTGAGGAAAAGCATGGGAAATAGCCTGGGGGGATGAGAGAGGAAAGAGAAGGAGACAAAAATCAGGAAACACATTCAGCCACACAGCCTGAACGCTGAAAGCACTGCAAAGAGGAACCTGCTTGGGAGGCCAGTGCATAAGCAAGGATTAAAAACCTTTTGGGTGCCTTTTGGGTGCTGGGGCAGGGGCATTCATCCTCCAAGGGGCAAAGGTACAGCAGCCAAATTTGTCATTGCCCTATAGCTTTTTCCCTTGGGCCTCCTCAG